ATAAATTTCATAAAGATTGTATGTTAACTTTTGGCATTAGCATAGAGCGTACACATGACAAAGGTTCAACAAAGTGAAACAAGGGCCATAACTCGAGACGTAATAAACGGAAATTATTGAAATTAAATAGGCTTCTTCATCTCACTAATATAAACAACATATATCAATTTTAAAACAATTGGATGATAATTTTTGGCGTTAGAGCGTTCTCCGTGTTTTCTACTATAAATCAGTATCGACGGCGACCAGTGGACAGAATTGATCACGTGTTTAGAGCAGATCACCCATTGTGCTAAGAGGTGAAGTCGTCCACAAGCAAAGTCGTCCACACCCATTGGTGGAGTCGTCCACAACTAAGAATAAGACTCGTACACAATTTACTTTTACTCAACTATTGGTGATGTCGTCCACAACTAAGAATAAGACTCGTACACAATTTACTCGTACTCAAAACGCCGATGTTATTGTTTGTTTTGTTAGTTTGTTGTTCACCGATGTTTTTGCAATGAAGTATACTTGTATTTTGTATTGTTTGTTAATTGGCGTTATGGTTTTAGCATTTTTGATTGATTGATTAGTATTAACGATGTTTTTTATATAAAGTATATTCGCTTTTAATTGACGTTATGATTGTAACATTTTTGATTAGTATTAACGATGTTTTTGTAATAAAGTTTATTGTAATGTTTGTTAATTGGCATTATGATTTTAGCATTTTTGTTTGTTTGATTAGTATTATCAATGTTTTTGTAATAAAGTATTGATTATTATTTGGTGTTATGATTATAGCCACGATTTGTCTGAAGTTTAAACACGCCGCCCATTGAAGATTAGCTAAATGCAACTCACTGTCATAATAATTGTAAGATGGAAAGGGGAGAAACAACCTACTGGTCTTGTAGCGTAAGAAACAGACGAATGAAATGTGCATTCCTGGGACGTCGAAAATTGGTGTGTATTTTTACAACCAATTAGAACCAACAACGGCGTCGAGGGATCGGAGAATAAACCACTAGGCAGCGAGAAATAACCTTCAATTTTAACTTCTAATCAAACTGTTACACAGTGAATCTAAAACGGCAGAACTACAACAACGACTGGTTTTAGAGAATAAATTAAAGAGGCGACAAAGGAAGAAATTTAAAATACATTTACGGGAATTGTATCAACAGGGGGAAAAAGTGTATCGGGGCTTTTAATGGGCGTGGGTCGTTTGGTAGCGGTATAGGAATTCATTTGTGCATGGGGCTTGTTATATTAATGAAATTGTTATATTAATGAACTTGTTTATGAATTTGTTATTTATTGAATTTGTTATATTAATGATTATTTATTGAATTTGTTAAATTTGTTTATGAATATGTTATTTATTGAATAAAGTGATTTACTTTGTTGTTATTTGCCGGGAGAAAGGGTGACCAACGTATTACTATATCCAGAAATTATGCTTAGTCGTGTGGGGGATCACGAGCTAAGTGGGTAAGACGCTAGCTCGCTAGCCTGGAGGTCGGGTGTTCGATCCCTGCATTGGACGAGAAAGTTCATCCAGATTTTCCGGCATGGTTCTCCCTTGTCAGTGATGCAGGACGGAGGGGCTGACAAGGAAAGCTGTCTAGTCATTCGGATGGGACGAAAAACTGAGGTCCCGTGTACACATTGGCGTGCACGTAAAAGATCCCTTGGCAGTTGGAATTCGATATAAGACTAAGAGTAGGCCGTAGTGCCGCTGTCCGGGCAAAATTTCCCTCATAGCACACTGTATGGTGTATGCCCGTCTTCATTAGCCCAGGTTAGGAGCAGAACAGTAGGACGTTAAACTCCATTTCATTTCATTTCTTAGTCGTGTGGACGACTCCACCAACGTATTACTATATCCAGAAAGTATACTAAGTCGTGTGGACGACTCCACCAACGGGTGTGGACGACTTAACCAGATTTTTCGTGTGGGCGGCTTGACTGGCATTCTTTTGAACTATATTTATTCCTGTTTGCTAATTTCTGGTTAATGCTAGCACTAGCAGACACTAGTCTGTCAAGAAACGTGTCAGCCAGTGTTGGTCTTCGCTTGCACTTTCAATTTCATCTTCCGATGTTTTTACGGAACTCAAACGTACGTAGGATTTAGCTAGCTTCGTTATTTTCATGATAATTATTTGACTTAAAAGACGAAGATTCCAACAGGTACTATCCGGAAGCAAAACCACTTCCAATTAAATAATTAATTTTCTCAGTTATTTATCCGCAAACAACCTAAAAAAGTTACAGGTCCTTACCTGAAGCCAATAGTCTGGAATCTAGCTGTCAGTTCGCGTTCGTTCGTTCGTTTCTGGAGTTTTACGTCCACTTTCACCTAAGGTGATATCGTAGACAAATCAGTTCGCGCTTTTTCGTTGTGCTAAGAGAGCGATAACAGTCACGTGATGTCAACTTCGGAACGCTGGATTGGCTAATAAGCATACCGGTACCCGTATGATTCCTTCGGGAATCGGTCACGTGTTGTTGCTCTTTAAAGGGGGGTTGGCTCATTAGCATATCATACGTATTTCCACGCAGAAATTAATTAGTTGCTCTAATTTTCCATATTTTTATACTCCCCCCCCCCCCCGGTACTGTGTACAATTGCGAAATTCAATTTAGGCTTACTTCAAAGACTGTTTAATAAAATCATAGATTTCTATGATAAAATGTATTAAAATAAAGCCCTAAAATAGATGGTATCTAAACAGTCGGGGGGGTTGGATGGCTGAATGGTTAGCGTGCGCGCGCTGTATCATAAAAGTCTGTCATTGAGTCGACTGGCGTGGTTTCGAATCCCCGGTTGTACGTGACAAGGAGTAGGGTCGCCTGTCCAGCCTCGTGGGTTTTCTCCGGGTCCTCCGGTTTCCTCCCACTGCTAAAGACCCCTACGCGCAAGCGAATTATGTAAATAAAATTAAACCATATGTTAGTCCCGAAATGACCTAGTTTGTGTCGAGTGGACGTTAAACCCCATTTCTCTCTCTCTCTCTCTCTCTCTCTCTCTCTCTCTCTGGAGCCACGTGGCTAGTTGGTTAAGACGCTGTCTCGCTAGCCTGGAGGTCGGGTGTTCGATCCCTGCATTGGCCGAGGATTTTCCGACGTGGTTTCCCAAGAACAGCTGTCTAGTCCTTCGGATGAGACGAAAAACCGAGGTCCCGTGTATATATTGGAATGCACGTAAAAGATCCCCTGGCAGTTGGAATTCGATATGAGAGTAGGCGATAGTGCCGCTGCCCGGGCAAAATTTCCCTCATATCACACTGTATGGCGTATGCCCGTCTTCATTAGCCCAGTATAGGAGCAGAACAGTAGGACGTTAAACCCCATTTCATTTCATTTCATATTTCTCTCTCTCTCTCTCTCTCTAAACAGTCCTACCTTGTTAAAGAGAAATCCTATTAATCCTATAAATCACTATTTCCAGTTGAGAAATTGGCAAAAATATCATTTTCAACTTCAAATTCAAACGTTTGAAGATAGCTAGTCCATGGTGGGGATGGGGAATAAGAAAACAGGGGAGGTAATTGGGAGGTAGCCTTATTGTGTTATTATTTCCGGTGTGGAGATTTTTAATTGTAACTTTAACATATAAAGGAGACAAGATCAAAACACCAGGGTCGGCTTGTATTCAATAGGATTTAAAGTAGCCAAGTCTCTAACATAGTATCATCTAAGGTCTTCGACGCCGAAAACACGAATTATTTGTCAATTTAAATCAACAATGATGTGTGATCTTACCAGGAAAAGATGGGCTTCCAGTATTTAAGACAAAATAAACATTTTAACGTTGGTACACGATTCGTGTATCATAATCCGTTTCAGCGTTATTTGTAACAAGGGACTCGAAGTAGAGGCTAGACATATTCAACAAGGCATGTCCAACGGTGACGCCATATTCTTATCTGGAGAGCATGCGCCATAAAACTATCGGCGTAGACTGGAATAATCAGATGCTAATTGACATTTGATTGAGAATTCCGGCGTATTTTGCCGAACATACATTTTAACTGTTTTGAAATTAACGAAAACGATTGAATGTGAATCAGTTTATTATATACATTCATATTACAGGCGGAAGGATAACGGGGTTATCAGGTTGGCTACGGTGATATGTACGACAACTAGTTACATGTTTTTAGTATGCTTCTTCAAGTTTATTTATCTCAAAATTTTGGTGGTCAACCTCATACAAATTTTAGTGCAACGACATGACCATTTGTTCCTCTTGTCTGTAGCGAAAAGCATTAGCCCAACGAAAATTTGGGGGAAAGTTGGAGGTGGGCAAAGAGGCCAGAATTAAAGGACAATATTGGTGTCAGTCATTATCACATATGTGGTAGAACTAATTAAACACGTTCCAAATATAATTTTAACACAGAGACCATTGCTACGATAGCTGAGTAATACAGGTTTCCTGAATCGGAAATAACGAACGCCAAAGGAAAACACGAGTCACCCCTCTATATAACTGACTGAAGTGACGAGCGATAACAGATACATGGGCGAATTTCTGCTCACTAATAATTCCTTTCAAGACCAAAAGTTGTGTGAGACTGTGAGAGGATATCTGACAATTCATAAAAAAAATTGACTGCCACTAGATAAGAGAACACGAAAGAAAAACAGAAAAAGTGCGTGCATTACCATGTTTTTATAAGGTATAGAATGAATATGAACAAGGGAATGTACGGACTATTTCTATTTTCCTCGTGTTCTCTTATCTAATGACATTCAATTACTTTATTGAATTGTCAGGTGTCCTCTTACAGTCCCATATAACAACTTTTGGTCTTCGAAGGAATTATTAGTGAGCAGAAATTCGGCCGTGTATCTGTTATCACTCGTCACATCAATCAGTTATATAGAGGGATGACTCGTGTTTTCCTTTGGCGTTCGTCACTTCCGATTCAGGAAACCTGTATTACTCAACTATCGTAGCATGATTTCTGTGTTAAAATTATATTTGGAATATGTTTAACCAGCTTTATCACATGTGTGATAATGACTGGCACCATTATTGTCCTTTAACATTGAAGTCAATGGGGAAATTAATGGTGGTCTGCCTCCACATAAAATATGTTTCAGACGAGTTATTTCCCATGAATAAGAAAATCGGTTTCAGACCAGTCATTTAATAATCTCGCTCACGCGAACATGGACGTAATAGACTTCCGACATTATTCTTTAATTAGTCACGGCTTTTATTTATGTTATTGTTGAAATAGATTTTCCATGTTACAGGTGCCCGTGGTTTAACAAAAAAAGACTCGGAAATCGTTGGTAAAGCCCCAGTACTTTCCCGCATTTTGTTTCATGTTTGTTTTGAAAGGCTTTATGTTTACATACGTTGGTCCATGATTATCTTTTTCAGCAGTAATATTTGTTCATTACAATCTAATGATTCATTAATTTAAGTGAACATTCAGATTTGAAAGAAATCAACTTCCGATTAAACACGGTTTTTCGTGGGCTGTTTAACTATCTATGAATTATTCATAATTTCCTGAGAGTTTTGAGATCTGTTATAGCTATTTTGTTAAATGTCGGCCATGCGTTAATAAAGAGCGCACTTTCTTTGATTTAAGATCGCAATTGATCTGGCGTGTTATTTGGATTTAGTGGTTGGGCAAGCTTAATCTGACTAAATTCTGATACGATAGTTGATATTTATATTGTAATTCAAAAGTAACAATAATAAATTCATATGAATTTACATGCACTAACTGAACAATAACAACTATATAAATCTATACATATACAATAATTCAATAATAACAACTATAATTCTATATGATATTTACATGCTATAATTCAACAATAACAAATAAATCTATATGATATTTACATGCAATAATTAAACAATGAAGCAATAATCGCCCGATAATAAATCTATATATACTCAGCCAAATTAAAAACTTGACACTGATGAATTTCAACAATTTTTTTTTTTCTGGTAAGTCAAATAAATTTTAAAGTGTTTCTAACGATAGTAAGTAGTAAGAAGCCTTTAATTTCATAAAATTGTCAAGTCACGTGGATCACGTGACTTTTGAGCATATAAAGATGAAAAACCTGAAAAACACGTGCAAACACAAACTCGTGAGGTCAATCAATGCAAGTTTGCTTAAACTGAACACGCACACGTAACTTGAACTGGAAAAACAAATTAAAATTGTTATTTTCATCTTTGTTAGAAAATGCCGCGCCTTTCAAATGTAGAACGTCTACGTGCTATAGGTAGGCTCTATGCTGGTCAGTCTGTGGTCACTGTTGCAAGAGCCTTAAATTGTTCACGCCAGACAATAATTAATCTTAGAATGAGAGTGCTTCAAACTGGAACTATTGCCGACGGCCCAAGGACGGAAGCGCCACGTGTGACGTCACTTCGGGAAGATCAGGCAATACGATTACGTTATCTTAGAAACAGATTTGTCACTGCAACCTCCACAAGTAGAGAGATGTTTGGTGAAAGGGTAACTGTACAAACTGTTCGAAATCGCTTGCAGGCTGCTGGTCTTCGAGCTCGGAGGCCCTATAATGGACTAATATTGACATCTCTTCATCGCCGTAACCGACTTGTGTGGGCCACAAGACACATAAGATTTACTCAAAGACAGTGGAATTCGGTTGTCTTTAGTGACGAATCTCAATTCACTTTGAGATATTTGCCGATGGCATTGTCCGAGTGTACCGCAGACGAGGTGAACGACAGCAAGTGAATCCACCACTGACGTTGCAGAACCTTCAACATGCTCTGGCTGAGCAGTGGCGACGTCTTCCTCGGATAGTGTTTACTAATGTTCTGAGATCCATGAGAAGACGTTGTGTGGCAGTACGAGACGCTAGAGGAGGCCACAGCCGTTACTAAACACTTTATTCCCATTGTTCTCCAAGTCTGTGAATTTCATTTTGGGGGGTACTGTGACATCACGAAAGTTATCAATGTCAAGGACTTTCGGCGAGACGTATTCTTGCTTTCTGTTGATGTCAAGGTCGTCTGTGCACAACATAACACTAAAATAGTTGCCTTAAACCAAATATTAAAAATCTAGTCCCAAAAATCCCGAGTGTCAAGTTTTTAATTTGGCTGAGTATATTTATATGTAATAATTCAAGAATAACAATAAAATATCCATTATGATTTATACATACAATAATTCAACAATGACAATAATAATTGCATGCAATATTCATGTTTGTAATGAAGTAATGCTTTTACAGTGAGCTTAGAATCCATGAAGAAAAACTTGTTGCTTAATAGGCTGAGAATTTTATTTCCTGAGGGGTGGGGGTGGGAGATCAAACACAAATATTTTAACTCAAAATACATTATGAACATTAAAGGTACAAGACAGATCGTTCTCATATATCAAAAATGTATTCTATTATCAAAAATGTATTCTATTTTAATGTAAGCTTCGTCTACACTAGGCTTGAAAAAGCCGGCTTTTTAAAAACCCGGTTTTTTCAAAACCCGGCTTTTTCAAGTGTAGCGTCTACACTGACTGAACGGAAAAAGACGATGAACACCGACCTTCGTTATTTGTGGAACTTCCGGTTTATTTATTACGCCATCGGCTTCAGTCAATTTTGCAGAGATAATAATATAATAATAATGATTACTAGAGAAGCCAGCTTCGGCTAATTCAGCGCATATAACCCTGTAAATTTTATTGTCTTTGACAGTTCCATCAAACAAAGCTTGAATGTTCCCCCGCCCCCAAATCTCAATTAGCAATAAGCACTCCTCGTTAACCCATTTTAGGTTAGGCATGTTGAAATTAAATAGGCTAGGCTATAGATGGATTTGAGATTTACCGCAATTTCTTAGAACCGGAAGCAATGCCAATGTTATGAATGTACGGAAGCTCGGGACGAATGACATCCGGGTACTTGATAAATCCCGGATTTACCGTCTACACACATAAAATTGCCGGTTTTTTGAAAAAGCCGGCTTTTTGATTTTGAAAAATCCCTCAATAATTGCCGAATTTTAAAAAGCCGGCTTTTACGATTGAGAAATTGAAAAAGCCGGCTTTTAGGAAAAAACCGGGATTTAAAAGGCTAGTGTAGACGGTGAATGCTGCTAGTGTAGACGTAGCTATTTAGAATGTCTTCCATTAAACACACCTCACTAAAACAAGGCTGGACTGACCTGTACGAAACATGTAAAATCACCTTATGTGTCTAAAATACATAAATCAAAATTGAAATCTGTAGATACCAATGAAAAATTTAAATGGTCTTAACTAAAGTAGGAATTGCTGGATTTGAACCATTTTTTGAATAGAATAATTTTTGATTAGGTTTGGTCTTAAACTCTTGTTTAACCTTTATTCTGGTACGTTTGGAACAAAAATTAAGCAATCAGACACGAAAAAACTCAACAGCTAACTAAATAAAGTACTATAGAGATAAAATAAATAAAATAAAATGTAGCATAGAGATGAACAAAAAATAAAGTAGTATAGAGATAAATAAATAAAGTAGATGGTGTGGATAAAAGTAGCATACAATTTTTTTTAAAAAGTAGAGAGTGAATAAATAAAGTAACATAGAGATTTTATAAATAAAGTAGTATAGAAATTAAAAAAAAAATGAAGACGGACATACGCCATACAGTTTGCCATAATGGAAATTTTGCACGGGCAACGGCACTATGGCCGACTCTTATATCGAATTTTAACTGCCAAGGGATCTTTTACGCGCACGCCAATGTATACACGGAAAAAGTAGTATAGAGATAAATAAATATAAAGTAATACAGAATTAGATAAGTTAAGAAGTATTGAGAAAAATAAATATAAAGTTGTATAGATAAAAAGAATAGTATAGAGATAAGGGTCATTCCATGTCAAGTGGGTCAATTTTCAGAAATTTGGGAAATCGGCCCCCCTCGAAAAAAAGTGGAAAAAACATGTTGTTGTACATGTAAAAACTAGAAACTGTGCATAATTTGTGATCTGTAGCTTGAAAATTGACTGAGATACGGGCATTCGAGTTTCATGAGTTACGATAAGTTTTGGAAACAAAATACATGTATGTATCAATAATTTACTCGAGTTTCAGATATCTTATGTTTACCTTTCTAGTGAAGATTAAATAACTTTTATTTGTTTATATTCGTGAATAAGAGACAATTTTCTGGCAATACACAAAATAGCAAGAGTCATTTTAGAAAATCAAAACATAAGCAGCAGAGGTTTCCTAATACACTAAATTACTAGCTGGGCTGTAATAAGTCACACTGATCCGCAGTGAATATTTGCTTGGCCGCGACAATCACTGATAAGGATGACATTGATGCGGCTTAATGAGCTAGACATATTAACTTTTTTCCTGCGACAAATTAAATTCTAAAACATTTTTTGTATATATTGGAAAATAAATAAAGGCGTTTCACGTATTTGTAGGTAAAAATTATTTCCTATTTAGTGTAAATGGGTATTAAAATGACTAAAATGCAGCATTCTCTCCGAAGCAGTTATGTCTTATGTAAACAATGCACGCGTCATTCAGCCAATGATTCACACCGCGTGCTGTGACAGCACGTGTTAAGGCAGTCATCTGTGACAGAGGTATTATACGAGACTCGTAATTCTCTGTGAAACAGATTGGTAATAAGTCTGGTTTGTGGTATCTCTGTCAACATCAATAACTATAACAGGTCGATCTTGGTCTTGGAAATCGTCAACATTTGCATTGCATGGATCGCAGCTGTTAGTAGCTATGTTACCATTAGGTTCCGACTGATGTAAACACGGGACAATTTGGTTGTTGTCTGTTGTAAACGTGGACATTTCTTTCTGAATAATAATAAAGTAGTACACACTTTGTTATTTATAATTACATTATATTGTGCATGTTTCTTCCTAAGTGGGGTGTTTAACTTTCTCAGATTTATAACTATTTGTAGTAAGATTGGCAGAATTTGTGCTGTTTAAATTAATGATAGCATTATATTATATTTTTAATTAATTATTTGGTTCACACATTCTATAGAAGTCAGATTTCTTGAACTCAAAAAATGCGTGACGGATTTACACACAAAAAGAGTTATAAAACCTAAACATAGCTGGTTCCGTGAATACCATGTTTACGTCTGACAAAAGACCCAGGTGCTACATATTTTCCATCTACATGTAATTAGTATCATATCTTTATTTCATTTCGTCTTTATGGTTGTGACTTTCTGCACTACATAAGATCAGCCATCCAAAACAAAACGGCTTCTGTTCAGATGGCTGTCGTCGACAGTTAAACAGCCGTGTTTTCGTTGGCTGCTCAGAGGGAATAACCCAACACAATGTTAACATCAAGTCTTGTTGAATTTAAAATACGAAATATTTAACGAAACAAAATGGAAAGTGGATTGGAACACCATGCTGAATCCATATTGCAAATTATTTCCAAGTCAGAGGCAGCACTTCGACATCGTAATGCAATAAACTGATTAAAATCAATTGCGATTTGTTCTTAGGCAGTGTCAAGATAACTTGATCTTACTGACTAATTAAATTGTCTGCATTGCTATATGTGGTGAATGTCAGCGTTTGGGTTATAGCATGGCTGATTGATATGCATAGAACCATCACGCTTTGTAGAGAATGTGAACTGAAAAAAAGGGAATGAAACCAGACTGTAATCTTATTTTAATCAGATTAATTAATGAAGCATGATCTTTATAATTAAAAATGATAATTACCGTTTCATAAATCTCTGAAAGTGGCGGGGCAATGATATCATATGTACCACAACATTTCTTCTTTGATCTGTTTAAAAAAAGATGTGTCGGCATTAATTTTAACTGCACGTGTTTCGGATTGTAATAATAATAATAATAGGTGTATTATGTGATTTCATTACACGCATGTCATGTGTATAGGTTATCGAAAAGTAAGGACAAAGAGAGGAACATTGTGATATCATACTCACAACAATTTGTTATCGGCTTTCCAAGTAAAATATGAATTTATTGAATATATTATCAAAGTAATTTGGACATAGACGGAGTTAGAATAACAAAATACAAAAAAAAATGTTTAGTTTTTTCATTTTAAAGGGAAGGGTTGGTAGCTAAAATAAATTAGCCATTGGAGTAATACTTTGCTCTACCTACACGGTTTACCTAACATACGGAAGTTGTTTTCGAAATTAGGTTGGAATTATTGCTGATATATATATATATATTGGTTTTAAAAGCACATAAAACAAACCTTTTACACCTATATACAGAACAATAGCCTATAAATAATATGGCGATAACAATAAATATTGATAAATATACTATGGTAGTAATGGTAAGATTTCCTGATGGTATCCTGATTTCTTCTTCTAAAAAATATAAAGTACACAGCATTAAAGAAGCTAAACCTCCCACTTAATATTTTCCATAATATTTGAAACACGAATTGGATTTGTCCATTTAAATTAATTATTGATGTTGTTATCTTGCAGTGAAAATATGAGATCCTTACATCCAATATTTAAGGCACAATGAATATTTCATAATCACTACACGAGTCGTGTATTCCATGGTTTCGGGCATTATTTGCAATGAACAAAGTAAACATACCCTCCAAGACAATGCGGAAGTAATTAATAATGGGGAGCGTCTAATTTGTCGGGTAGTTCCAGTCACATTTTCACGAAATTCGAAACTCCACCGTCTTTATGGTGGAACGGTATATATAATATATTTGAGCGGTTTTAAAATGGATGAAGATTTATTATGACATCTAGTAGAAGTTGTACAATTAAAGGCAATAATCCAGGGAGTTATGGTCCGATATGCGCGAATATCACAAAGAACCCAGATCTTTGGGATACAAACATATCTTTTAAGTTCTATCAAAATCGGATAAAAATTGTGATCTCTCCATGATCCACAACCTTTGTGTTACACACTTTTACACAATATGCATACAGGGGCGGTGATTTTGTCGGATAGTTTCGGTCCGATGTTGGTGTAACTGTGATATATTTGAACGGTTTCTAAAATCGGATAAGAAATTGTTATCTCTAGAGGGTGTCCACGAGGTAAAAAACGTGATTTTTCATACAATGAGGGATCATAATCCAGGAAGTTAAAGAGTCCGATATGCGCGAATATCGAAAGGGACCGAGATTGTTGGGATGTAAACAGGCATTTTAAGTTTCATCAACATCGGATAAAATTGTGACCTCTAGAGTGTCCAAAAACAAAATGTGAACAGGCAGACGAACATTTGGACGGACAGGGGCGACGACTACATACGTCCACATGAAAATATTTATAAAATTGAAGAAAACTGAAAATACTATTTTCTTATATCTTATTACAGCTACAAAAATGTATTATTTTTACATAGCATTACCTGTTTTATCCCACACTATAGGACTAGCAATGTCCTCATATATTATAGATAACCCATAATTCCAGGAACAATTATTACAAGATTCCTCTGGTTCTGCTGGTTTTAAGATATCATAAAAAGACGATGACAGCGTGCTAGAACTGTTTCTAACGGTTTGGTTATATATTTCCTAAAAATCAATAATCTAAATAAATATGAATTGAGTTTAAAAAATTAATGTTTATCGGATCTAACAATCGATAACGTCATTATTTCCCAGAATGTTTTTTTCAACGATTTCGTAAAATAGTCACACATTTTGATTCTATTTTATTTAAATGCGTTAAAAACAAAGAATAAAGTAGTTAATGAGTAGCCTTCCTGGGGCATACAAAAGGATATTCTTTTAAAAATTTAGTCAGTATGACAATGATCAAACAAATACTTCACGACACATATATTTTATTTTAATATTTCGTTTATCGCTTGCCAACCGACTTCCACTGAGATAGCCATCAGAAACCATACGAAAATCCCATTAATTTAGAATCAAAATGTAGTTTTATATTCGTTTAAACTTAACTCATCATTAAGAACAAAATTTATTAGGTACATAAGATAGTTTCGTGACAAATCTTTGACGTTACAATAAAGTGAAAAATCTTTAGAGTGAAAACCCTTAAAATGTAAAAATTGTTTGGTAAAAATTGTTTAGTTAACAAACTGTAAAAATTGTTTAGTTAACAAACTGAAAAAATTGTTTAGTTAACAAACTGTAAAAATTGTTTAGTTAACTAATTGTTTTGTTAACAAACTGTTTAAATTGTTTAGTTAACAAACTGTAAACTCTGTACAAAATTTATTTAGTGACAAATCTATATCTGGGTAATATACAATATAAAAACGTTATATCTAACCTGTTTGCATTCTACCCAATTGTGTGACTGTCGATAAATTCCGTAACACCAGAAAAAATGAAATTCGTCATGGGATGATAATGATGAGTATGTCCAACTTAATCGGTGATGTGTTGCATTTAATGGTTCAAATTTAAGAGACGATGGTCGACTTTTCACTGAAATATATGTTATTTTTGCTTCGTCAGATTCATTTTCCTTCACCTGAGTTCCCCATAATCCAGGTATTTAGTGTTTTGTAGATACTTGGAGGGTTTATATACATGTGAACACTGTTGTGTGCAGAGGTTTTGTCAACTCTTAACATAAGCCCGATTTACACTTGGCCGCGATAAGCGTTACGCGTCGTTCTCGTCACGGCATACCAGGCTGCGATAAATTTCAAGAAATTGACCCGTGTATATTACCCTGCAAAGTACCCGGGTGAAAACATTTATGGCGGTTGATTTAGTTTGGGCAGGAGAAAAGATCAAGGTTCATTTGGCGCAGGCACAATAATCCGTACTGAGAACCTTTCTCAGACTGGATGAAAGGAAATGAAATGGGGTTTAACGTCCTACTGTTCTGCTCCTAACCTGGGCTAATGAAGACGGGCATACGCCATACAGTGCGCTATGAGGGAAATTTTGCCCGGGCAGCGGCGCTACGGCCTACTCTTATATCGAATTCTAACTGCCAAGGGATCTTTTACGTGCACGCCAATGTGTACACGGGACCTCGGTTTTTCGTCCCATCCGAACGACTAGACAGCTGTTCTTATCAGGCCCTCCGTCCTGTATCACTGACAAGGGGAAACCACGCCGGAAAATCGGGATGAACTTTCTCGGCCAATGCAGGGATCGAACACCCGACCTCCAGGCTAGCGAGCCAGCGTCTTACCCACTTAGCCACGTGATCCCCCTCAGACTGGCTAGCGTTTACACTACAAAAAAATTAACCGTGCCGAGATTGGTACCGTGCCATTGGTCCACTGAAGTGAGGTGGTCTCGGCACGGTGCCTGGTAAGGCACGGTTACATTTTCGTAGTGCAAATGCTATCCGGTCTGAGAACGGTTCTCCGCGCATGCGCCAAATGAACCTTGACCCCTTTTCCCGTGAACTTTGACAATTCTGCCATCAGTTCTCTCAAAATGGCTGTCCAAACTAAATCAACCGCCATAATTGTTTTCATCCGGGTAATTTGCATAGGGTTTAAAATTAACTTTTCTATGAAGAGTTCCAAATTTGGCGTGCCCGGCACGGTTCCAAGACTGGTTATTTTAGAGTAATGTAAACGAGTCAACTTCTTGAAATTTATCGCTGCCTGGTAACGTGCCAAGCACGGCATGCTTATCGCTTCCAAGTCTAAACGGGACTATCGCTCAAATGTTGGCAATCGTACTCACTAATGTGAGAAATGAAGACATGAAAAGAACAAATTAAGTTCTGGAGATTCAAAAAAAATAAATAAATAATAGATTGCTGCTCTAAATATACAATAGATCAAAGTCTTGTAAATAATACGGTATTTTATTTATTTACCACTGTGTTGGTTGGGTATCTTAATAGAAGATTTTTCGTGTGATGACCCTTTTTTATTTCTGGCCACAATAAGAACCTCATTTTCTTGCTGTGAGCCATTCAGAAGTACGGACACCTTGGAACCATTGACGATTTTCTTTTCGACAGGTTCTTTGTCTTGTATTCTGGAAATTTCATATTCCAAGTCTGGTCCATTTTCATAAAGTTTCGGTATTTTCTGAAAGGTTAAACCAAAAATGTGACAAGGTGATGATAATTTATCAAAATCTATCGTTAATAACCATTTTAGTCTATCGAATCTTTTAGAATCGTCTTTTGGAAACTTCTAGTAACCATATAAACTTCTGGAAACAGTGTTTAGAAATAACTGGAAGTTTCTGGGGGGTTCCAGAAAAAGTTGGAAAGTTCCAGTATTTCTTAAACCTATATAAGGAGAACCAGACGAGTCCTAGGGCAGAAACTTCTTAGTAAGATTCTGTCTGGCTCACGTGGTCTGTATTCCTTATTTATGGCCATTTTGTGTTGTTCTGAGAGAAAATTATCTCTGTTTAACATTGTGCTGTTTTGAGAAACTTGATTTCTCTGTTGTAATCTAAGTTTAGGATTACTGTTGTGGATTATTAACACGTCGGATTTTTACCGATTCAAGAATTACTCATCCTGTTAGTTTTGGACCATCAAGATCCTGTGCAATTCTGCCAAGAGTAGAAGCGCCGAGAGGCAACATTTCAGCCGAATATTGGTAAAATTGGACAGAATACTGTGAGAAATCCTGTACATTGATCCTGATCAACACTGTTATACCGGTACTTATACTCATTGGGTTGTTGTCTAGATTTGTCAGATCGGGTTATTAGGTGGATCATTAATCTGTAAACTACAATCGATACTCGGAGATTGTAACAAAAAAGCATTCAAGTGCATGAGATATATGTTGTAAATTATTGTGAGATGTTCTTCATTGAATAAAGTAGCTGATTGTCTTTTGATAATTTGTCACGGCTTATACTGATTATTTAAAATTTAATTAAGAAAATGTTAATGGTATTCAATTGGATTAAAAAGAGGTCTATCAAAAGATATCAGAGAAGATTATACTTTCCGTTTATATCGTCTGCCGAATGTTGACATATTTTGACAAATGACATCAGTGACTTTAAATTACCTTCCAGTAAACAGCAATTTTATTTTTCTGGGTGACAGAGTAACCACCCTTGAATGCCACTGGTGCCAGCGAAGGAACTATAAAGAAAAAAAGAGACAATGATATGTTGCTATATTTACACTAATTTCGAATTTAATGAACCGTTATTGAATAGTATAGTCGTTTTATCCGCCAAGAAGTTTAAAGACGATTAAAAGTTCATCCGTATTTGACAAATAGTTAAATTTCTTTTTAATAGCCTTACTTTGAATTATTCGTAAAATATTGTCATTAAAATATGATAAAGTTTATTCGCTTATTTTAACAATTTCTTTAGTAGGCTATATTCATGATATCACGAGGAAATGATTCAATTCAATGATTCATGGACAAGGCCATTTATAAGATTAAAAAGGCTTTTGACATTTGATTAGAATATCTATTCTATAAATAAGGTAACAGGTATCATATTGGGTGGTGTCTATGTGTTGCACATATTTATTGAGATTGTAAATCTGGGGCAAGAAAGGCAAAAATTTAGCTAGTTATTAATTCTCAACTAAATTCAAAGTTAACAGGCTGAGTCTTTCTCGAACCAGCATGGAAATGAAATGAAATGGGGTTTAACGTCCTACTGTTCTGCTCCGAACTGGGCTAATGAAGACGGGCTTAGGCCATACAGTGTGCAGTGAGGGAAATTTTGCCCCGACAGCGGCACTAGGTCTACTCTTATATCGAATTCCAACTGTCAAGGGATCTTACGTGCACGCCAATGTGTACACGGGACCTCGGGTTTTTTCGTCATTCCGAACGACTACCTGCCAGGCCCTCCGTCCTGCATCATTGACAAGGGAGAACCACACCGGAAAATCTGGATGGACTTTCTCGGCCAATGCAGGGATCGAACACCCGACCTCCAGGCTAGCGAGCCAGCGTCTTACCCACGTAGCCACCGTGACCCCCTGGAACCGGCATAGAGGAAAAGTACTTATTTCGTTGATGCAGAACATAATCAACTTATCAGAGATTGAAATCATTTTTGCTGATAATCCCTCACTTAAAACATCATCAGATAAAACCGATAATTAAAGACCGAGTCCCTCTTAAAACTTGAATAAAATATTGTAATATAACTAAAACCGTTTAATATTCATTTACTCCCGTTATATATTGTCAAGTGTGAATTCATTGTAACAAGGAAAACAACCACATTAAAAGATAAACATTAATCATCTGTTGTAAAGCTATATTTATTTTCCTGTTTAGACTCGTTTAGACAAAGCGACTCTGTGAATAAAGTATCAATTCGACAAAGAAGACACAATGAATAACGATTGCTATGTAAATGTATAAAACACACGATTGAGTCAAGGTTTACAAAATTAAAAACAAAATAAGAATTCGTCATATGTTTTTTTTTTAAAAATAAAATGCATTCTTACCACATACATCTGTTTGTTGCAAACGGCTGGTCACCTTACTCCATTTCGTTCCATTCACCGGCTTCCACTTTATCGATATATTGTAATTATTATTAGCAAAGAATTTGTTTTTCATGTTGTAAACTAATGTCTCATTGCGTACCACTGTTTTCTACAAAATGCAAAAAATAAAAAAATATCATTTGAATAGTTTTTTTAAAACCTATTCAAATGATATAAAAAGTGACGAAGTTATGAAAAATTAGTGTTCCTTAGGGTTCCGCTTTCTACCCCTTTGATTCATGTTAGAATTTGAGGAGCGTCTTCTTGCAATCCTATTACATGTACAACAATTTAAGATAATATGATAATATATATACTTCAAAAACATATGTAGACAGAAATGCGTGATTTCAAAATCACCAAAATAAAAGAAGAAAGGGGAATTAAATAACAAAACGAAACTTACATCGAGTATAATAATATCTTTAGCTGTAATAACTAGGTAAAACAAGAGCGGTGTGTTATTTAAAGGAATATAAGTATCATCAGGTTGTGCTGATATGTTCATAGAAAAACAGCCATCGTTTTTGATAGTAACATTGTGTAAATACTTGGGTTCAACTGAAAATACATATCAAAATACACATCAATACTGAAATGAAATGATATTCAAAAAATATCAAAGCTGTGCACAAAGATCTGATCAGTACAATTTTCGCTTTTATTCCTTCAAAAACAAAAAAACAAAAAAAAATACCTACAACTCCCCCGCCCCCCCCCCCCCAAAAAAAAGCGAGACTCTCTTAGCTCATTTTCTTCAAGAGAATTTTTATAACAAGCCTATATTATAGGCTTACAGTATATGACTTACCAATATTAAAAATATATATGTGAATATGATTAACTGCTGGTTGGGTATTATTCACTTTAGCATTAGAGACAGTAATACTGATATTATGTTGTAAGAAGCGATTCTTATAGTCGAACGAACACCGGAACACGAGGTCTGTTATTTTTATAACACATTCTTTCGTTTCTCCTGTATTCCTTTAAGAAAGAGAAATAAAAAAAAACCATTTTCATATCAAATCTATCAAACCCCGATGCATATTTTCCAATCAACTTTAAATGGGTGAGTATATTTTTGAGGATTGTTTCCGAAATAGATTTCCAACACGATGCTTATAACCATGAGCTAGGAGGCATAATTCGGGTGGGTGATTGTGGCCGAGATATGTTCAACAGACTCACGAAAGTTACATACCAGTTGTATTAGGTGCCATAGTTTAAGTTCAATGATAATAAAATTGATTGTTATCAAAGACTCGTCAACGTGGGATATTATCGTCAAAGTTCTTGCGTTTTGCAATATTTTTATTTTCTGTTGTACTATACATTGATGTCTGACACATTTTCTTTGAAGACGATCATCAGATCAAATGACCTTAATGAGCAGTCTCGTTGACTGTTCAGGTATATATATAAGTGGCTTCACTTCTCCGAGAATTTACTGCGTCTGATGGTGTGTTTGACTTGACTTGTTGATATCGAACACCATTGACAGAATCGTTATGACAAAAGTTCGGCTAGATTAGGCATACAATAAATTGCAATCTATATTAATTTGATTGGATTAAGTCTTCTCTAATTAAAAATTATATTCAGTATTGCTATTTATAGCAAAACCATAGAATAAAGTGAAACACATTATATGAAACTCCATGTATATATACCTGGGAAATATTTCTACCTTTGTGACATTTTTGGTAATGTTGTCAAGTATTTCGCATGATATATCATTATTTTGTTGCTTTCTTTGTACATTACATGATACTCGTGTAACTGGCACTGGTTTGGCTGTCAAATATACAGAAATTAATCATATTTTAGTACCCGATTTAACACTACATTACAGTAATTTTAATATCCACCTGTAAAATTATATCTGATTCGTTCCCAGATGCGATAATATTGGTATACCTTACCGTTTTTTTTAGGTTCTTATTTGAAGTCGGATTAGGGCCTTTGGATGGTATCCTCCCAAAACTTAAGACACCTTAAAACAACAATATTTATGGTTCGGTGCACAGCATATTGCAAAATAAAAGAACAGTCCAACAGATATATATAATAATACAAGATAAATATTGTTGATAATATAAACATATTTATACTTTTCATGACACAGTCACTACTGTCACACCCACATATTATGATATATACATGTCTAAGATATGACTGTCTAAGTTTTTTGGGAGATAACCAATGGGATTTACAAAATCAGGACTTTTAAGAGTTTTTGGATTTATTGACAAAAGTGTCCAGATTAACTTGATATTTAAACATACTTCATAATCAAATTGTTCATCCTACCTTGAACACATACCGTGGCTCAGATATGCTACTAATCGACTCGCGCTGGGTCCCCCCCCCCCCCCCGTTAACTTCAATTTTAATTCAATAGTGGTCTTTAGCTGTGGGAGGAAAAAGGACTCGGGGGGAAACCCACGAGGTTAGACAGCGACCCCACTCTTTACCGCGTATACTAGCGGGAATCAAAACCACGCCACTTGACTCAAAGACTCAGTGCGGTCATTCTATAGCACGACCCCCCCCCCCTCCAACCAACCCTGCACCTTCGTAAGTATATAAGTATATAATTCATAGCTACAACTAGTTTCATATTTTACTTACCCAATACTATTAAAGTAGAACTGCATATAGTTTTGTTCACAGAATTAATAAAATCAGCAACAATTCTTCTCTCTGCTCTCATTGTTTCCGTTGGCGTGAACGTAAAGCCGCCATTCTGGTGTATAATGTTTACTGGAGTAGTTGTGTTTATTACTTTTAAACTAAACTTAGAACTCTTTAATGTGACATTTGGCGGTGGGTACAGCCAGCATGTCTGTCCTACTTCACAATAAGTTGTCGCTGGAATTTCAATAATTGTGTATTATTAGCTTTAAATGTTGAAAGATATATTTAATTAAAAGGGATGGTATTCTAGTCGCCTGCAACTATTTGAATAATTTTCAAAGAAGTACAAATTATTTAAGCAAACTGACAGTGTCTGGACTACCACATCTTTAAGGTAGCTTGCATATTATAGTGATTGTCGCGTTTATCAGATTACTCATTATGTGGTGGTGTAAGCAATATAATTATTATACACATGTACATCAAAAATTCTTTGACATAATAAGATACCCTCGATGAGGAATTACATTGTGTGTGTCTTTTTTCAATTTAATTTGCTTCAATGAAACCCTTGTGAAATCCGGGACTTCACCTTTAAAATGCTACTAGAATAAGCTATGTTATGGATCTTGAGGGTCATAGTGGCTCAGTGAGTAAGGCAATGGCTTACTAACCAGGGTTCTTCCGGGTTCGATCGCGGGGTTGGCCGAGAGAGTAACCTAGTTCCCGTATACTAGGGTTGTGACAATCAGACACATTTTGATTCAGTAAGAATTTGACCGGTGTTTTCTGGGGCGAAAAACATTGTTCTTCGATAATTCGGTCGAGGCTGAAAAGGAAAACGTTTTTTTTCGGTCGGGGACCGGGCCATTTCCAAAATGGTGGACAAAATGGCCGCCAAAATACAATTTTTCCAAGTTTTTTGGAGTTATTCGTTAATATTTTAATGTAATATGTCGATTTATAGATTTTCTGGGATGCTGAATCCTAAAATGTGGTTTTCTGTTTGTTCTGACATAATTCCGCCATCTTGATTTTCAAAATGGCGGACAAAATGGACGCTAAAATGCATTTTTTCAATGTTGTTTGGCTTTCTCTAGAATATTATCTCGTAGTATGTCGATCTATAGGCTTTGAGGGTCGATGAATCCGAAATTGTGATTTTCTGTTCGATCCGACAAAGTTCCGCCATCTTGATTTTCAAAATGGCTGACAATATGGCCGCCGCACTAAACTGCCTATGTTGTGATTGGCGTTTGTCCGGATTAGTATCATGTAATATGTCGAGGTATAGGTTTTGGGGGTCAATGAATCTGAAAATTTGGTTTTTTGGTCGATCCGATCGAATTTTAGCCATATAGAATCCTAAGTACTTGTAAGAAACACGGTGTACCTGTAACGCCGGAGAATATGAACATCCTCAAACAGCTAACAGACAAAGAACTCCTCTCCGAGATCGCCTACATTCGTGCTACAGTTGCTAATGATATCAGACAGAAACGCAGAATAAAAATGGACAATGGGAGATTTAAATACGAAACATTCTGTAAGAACGAACTAATTCAGTCAATCAAGAATGTAATGAAGCCAGAAAACTGTGTATGTCGTGACATAGATACGCTCCTGAAGAATGCCTTTGCCATTGATTGAAATTAATGTATCGATGTTTGATCAGTATCCTGATGCAATGTAAATACACATGTGATAATAAATCAACTGAGTGTTATATTATTATTCTTTCGTACTGCCTTGAGATGTGATTTTCTTTGAATGTTCTCGGTTTACACCAATTCAGAGCCACCCAAATTCATCGACATATTACACGTAACTATTTCGAAAAAAGCGAAATGACATTAACAGATTCATTTTGGCGGCCATTTTGTCCGCCATTTTGAAATTCTATATGGCTAAAATTCGATCGGACCGACTAGAAAACCAAATTTTCAGATTCATCGACCCCCAAAACCTATACCTCGACATATTACATGATACTAATCCGGACAAACGCCAATCACAACATAGGCAGTTCAGTGCCGAGGCCATTTTGTCAACCATTTTGAAAATCAAGATGGCGGAACTTTGTCGGATCGAACAGAAAATCACAATTTCGGATTCATCGACCCCCAAAGCCTATAGATCGACATACTACGAGATAATATTCCAGAGAAAGCCGAACAACATTGAAAAAATGCATTTTGAAAATCAAGATGGCGGAATTATGTCAGATCAAACAAAAAAACACATTTTTGGATTCAGCATCCCAGAAAACCTATAAATGGACATATAACACGACAACATCATAGAATAAATTCAAAAAATTGTATTTTGACGGCCATTTTGTCCGCCATTTTGGAAATGGCCCGGTCCCTGACCGAAAAAGCGGCTTTTTGTTCCAGCCCCGACCGGATTCTCAAAGTACAATGTATTTCGCCTCTGAAAACGCCGGTCACTTAAATTCGACATTATTTTCCCAACCCTACGTATACACGTAAAAGAACCCTTGGCTGTTGGAAAGGTAGATGGATACGTCGCAATTTGGGCAAAGTTTGCCTCATAGCATAGGTCTACTGTGTTGCGCATGTCCGCTTGCATTATCCAGGTTGGTGCAGAAAGGTAGGAGCAGGGCCGGATTAAGACCCATAGAGACCCTAAACAATAATAAACCATAAACCCGTCAAGTTTTTCTGAGGTTTTATACACGTCATTATATATTAAGACAAATGAAATGAAATGAAATGGGGTTTAACGTCCTACTGTTCTGCTCCTATGCTGGGCTAATGAAGACGGCATACGCCATACAGTGTGCCATGAGGGAAATTTTGCCCGGGCAGCGGCACTATCGCCTACTCTTATATCAAATTCCAACTGCCAAGGGATCTTTTACGTGCATTCTAATGTACACGGGACCTCGGTATTTCATCTCATCCGAAGGACTAGATAGCTGTCCTTGTCAGGCCCTCCGTCCTGCATCACTGACAAGGGGGAGCCACGCCGGAAATTCGGGATGAACTTTCTCGGCCAATGCAGGGATCGAACACCCGACCTCCAGGCTAGCGAGCCAGCGTCTTACCCACTTAGCCACGTGATCCCCATATTAGGATAAAGAAGGTAATAGTAGGAAAAGACAAAAACAAGGAAAAACTAATTAAAAGTTCTTAATTTTTTTAAATTAAATATTTTGAGTTGGACATCTAACAAAGCAGAAATTATGTGGTGTCCCCCTTCCCATGATGCCCAAAGAACGTGCTTACTATAATCCAGCCCTGAGGGTTAACCCCATTTCATTTCAGTTATTGTCATTGTTCATTTCCAGCAGAGTTAGGACTACTCACCACCGATACATGACCGGCATATACCAGTCGGTATACTCCATGAGATAAGCAAGTAAAATAAACAGCAAAATTGTTGGCATCTCATTTCGTTCAGGATACCATACCTGAAATATCGTGGTACATGCAGTTTGATATAAAAATATATATAGTATTTCTTTCTAAAACAAGGACATAAATCAGGGACCATGGTCTTATAGTAGTATCAGGGCCTCTTGGTCAAGCAATTCAGCGAGGAGAGGGGACTGGGTGGGGATCGGAGGGGTGAGAAGTTCTCTCCCCCTTTTGACTAGAAATTTTTTGAAAGATATACATGCTCTCTTAGCGTCATTTTGGCGTATATCTGAGGTAATTAACTGGAGGTCACTTTGCCACAACGCAGATACTGAGATTTAACAAAACAACATATGACATACCAAATTAATTTACTTGGTTGTAGTTTTACTGATGTAAGAATGGTCAGATGTATGCGATTTTGACAGGAAATTTTGTGCAAGCAAAAACCACGTCATCATTGGTCGGAAAAGCGTCTGCACTTCGCACAAATATTGAAAAACATCAAGATTTTTAGCGCCTAACGAAACGAAGACAAAAGTAAAAGTTTCGCTTTCGCTTATAGTCCTTAATTTACCAATTTTTCTATAAAAAAGGTGGACTGAGCGAGAGAAATGGGGTTTAACGTCTGTAATACTGTAATATAATTCTACAGATGTTGGTATGGTTATTGTAAAGGATTCAAGGGATCTTTTACCCAATACCGAGCAAAAAGTCTTAAAGAAAGGGACGAATGTAATACGAGTTTTATAGGAGGATAAAGTTAAGACTGCGACATTTTTTAGGAAAGTGGAGGAATACGGTAAATTTTGTCCGTATATAATTTTATGTAATTAAATTTTTGCTTTAGAAACGTAATATTAACGTTTAATATATACTGCTAATTGCTTTAAGCTGTCGACATGTACGCAAGGATTAGAATGTGTAATTTGACATTCGGTCAGATTATTATAAACAATAGGTTCTAATACTGTGTTAAATTTGACGTGTGTAAAAGTCACGGATTGCATTAATATAATATAAGATAGGATGTAGTTAACTGTATGTGTTATTTAAAGTTAGGTATGTTCTAATTGTTTTGTTTATAGAATATAGACTGGTGTTCCGAGGGAGTGAAGTGCACGTCACTTGCTTTGAACATGATTCTAAATAATGTTTATATACATAATGGAATAGGAACTGTAGGATGAAATGGAATGTCATTCATATACTGGCCATATTTGATTGACAGTTCTATTCTAAATAACGTGTTAGGTGATACTAATGTGGAATAAGTAACCATGGGCTTGTTTCATGTGTTGGTGTATTTGTTTTAATTCACATACAAAATGGTAGATTTATATGATTAGGTCAAAAAGGTCACATTACTGACGGTGAAATATAAAATAACAGTGTAGGAATTCTAAAACACAAACGGAAATTCTAAAACAGAAAACGCAATTATAAAATTACTGATCGAGTTAGGTCAAGAGGTCAAAGTTAGTTTGAAGATTTATAATTAAAGAGACACATCAAAGTTTATTTAATAATTAAATAAAGTTTAATTTTAATAAGGAGTGAGTTACTTTAAGTTTTCGGAATAATATATATATAATAATATTAGACTAATATCAAAATAAAGTTTTAATAGTTTAGGAATAGTTAGTTCTTGGTCTGATGGCAATGACATGTTTGATTGACGGATAAAATTGTACAAACCATACTTAGAAGAAAAAAAGAAAGTTTCAACTTGATACTATGGTAGCTGAAACAGACCAATACAAATCCAAGAAGAAGAAATGGTTTATCAGTTTACTAAATTGAGATTTCCTGAGACAGAATTTGAAGTGAAACCTGAACTTTATAAACATTACGTGATGTGTTATAGTGTTTTGAAATTAGGACACTTGAAGATTTAAAAAAGACAATTTGTGTTTTCTGTGTTTAGGCTTAGAGAATTTTCATAGGATTTTACAGAGATGAACTTTTTGGAGAACTTTTGCATGCAACTTTTGATTTTTGATTTTTGATTATGTGTGTTTGTGTTTTCAGTTTTGTTATATAGTATAGTATCATTGATATTTGCCTGTTGCATGAATAATTATAGGGTTTAGCACATAGACGTTTTAAGAGTCTCCTACCTGTTCATTTAGCATAAATCTTGCAAGTGGGGGAGGTGATATATGTTGATTTTCTAGATTTCTGCTACATTTATGAATAGTTATATAATTCTACAGATGTTGGTATGGTTATTGTAAAGGATTCAAGGGATCTTTTACCCAATACCGAGCAAAAAGTCTTAAAGAAAGGGACGAATGTAATACTTTTAGTAGAATTTTGGCTCGAGAAATAACATATTCGCATAACATTTGATATGTTCTTAAAATACTTAAATCAACTTAGTCTGTAATTGACAGTTGACACATAAAAAAGAGCTATTTATCGAAAACATATGTCACTCATTTACCACCAGAATTACACGTGAGTGGAATTATTCTAATTGCATCATTTGATTTAAAGTAACCAATCATTTTGTTAATTACACAAGTTCAGTTTGTGTCCACTCGACACAAACTAGGTCATTTCATCTAACATATGGTTCAATTTTATTTCCATAATTCGCTTGCGCGTGGGGTCTTTAGAGTGGGAGGAAACCGGAGGGCCCGGAGAAAACCCACGAGGTTGGACAGGCGACCCTACTCCTTGTCATGTAGAACCGGGGAATCGAAACCACGCCAGTTGAATCAATGGCAGACTTTATGGTACAGCGCACACGTGCTAACCATTCAGCCATCCAACCCCCCAATTAACAATGTATTTTTATTTTAAAAATTTAAACAAACAATTTTTTCAAAAAAGCATTACTTGTCACATACCTCCGGGACCATTTAGGTCCCCTGTCCCTGGACAAGTGTTCCAGCGCCAGCTCCCCCACCCTTCTCACGGGCCCTGAGTAGTATTTATCTTCAATAGAAACTTGCTTCAGGAACATTACATGCGTAGTATTAGGCCAATGTCGATATTATACAACCGCTATTAGTCAAGACTAAAGAAAATTGTATCTTAAGTTTTCAATGAAAACGGAAGTAGCTAAATCCTTTGTGATTCTCCCTGTCACGTATGACAATATCTTTATTAGGTAAAGATAGGTTACAATGTGGTTTGTCGTGGATGTACTGAATAATACATATATATTCACGCTGGTATTGCTGAATGTTTCAAGGTCACAAGTATTTGTACATTAATAAATATAGTATATATGTTATTGTTGTTTATTACAGTTTATGACAACTGGATGAACATGTTTTCGGATTGTGGTAATAAAGTTTGATTATAAACATTTGATTTTATTGTTATTTGTAAGATGTATGATAGTTAATATTTGCCAAGGTTGAGTAATTCACATGTCTGGTTGCAGGTATGATTGCATTGAATGCATGTGGACTGCCTGTTTTGTTGTCGTGATTTGATTGGTTGTGAGTGAAACTGTAGTATACGTCGTGGGGGATATGAATTTATATTGTCACTCTAATAATGGATTTTGGGAGAATCACACATATTCATTGGTCATATCATTCATGAATCGTTCGTAAATATATTTCAACTAAATGGGTGTTAGACTGTGTGTCTCGTTGGTTTTGACTGTGTGTCGTTATAATGGTAAGCTGTGTGATTATGAGCAATAATTAGTACATTTACTTGTAAGTATTGTTTGATTTTTGTAATGTTGATAATAGTGGATGTGTGCGCGTGTACCACCAACTCATCGTCATCTCATCAACATATAAATGTGATTAGTGGTATTTTGAAACGGTGGAGACGGTGATATTATTAGAGAATAATTACATAAATATATATATATATATATATACATATTATAATTGTATTGATATATTGTAGTTATATAAAGATATTTAAATTATACTGTGTTTTGTTAATGTGAACTATAAGTACATGACTGTCAATCCGCCCCAAAATGAACCAAAGGTCCAATTTTGTGACACTCCCAAGACGGCGAACGCCAAAAAATATGGGGATAATGCTTCGTGATCCCGAGATTCTTTTATTTACTGTGTATTTTTTTTTTATTCTGCTGCAAAATTTAGAACTACCGGAAAATTCACAAGGAAACGAAGGCGTCTATTTTAAATGCCATTTACAGAGTTGTCTTCTTTTTACTTAATTCATTAAGTGTTTCTTTTATTGTGTGAAAATAATAATGGTCATATTCGTCATTTATTTTTTATCGCTTGTCTTGTTTAATTCAGACATATTTTACTTTAAAAGGCCAATCCCTATAATATTTTGGAGAATACAACTGCTTAATTTTGTGTTAAAATCCCGTAAAGTCCTCTACCTTAGGGTCAAGCAACTAACTCAACATATGTGATACGTTTTCAAACAACTTAAACCCGCCAATCTTCATCTGGAAATGGAGAACAGTGTCCCAAGCTATATTATGCGGTGTCTGGATAAAACCAGACTTTTATTTCATGAAAATAATGGGTAGGTGAAATTTACCTTTCGTTATCAAGTACAGCACATGGGTCATTTATTGTATAGACCTCTAAAGGAACGGGAATCGATTATCAGGTCACCTAACGAAAAAATTGACCCGAAATCTTAAAAGGGTACGTGTCCGGATAAGCAGTTATGAGACAAGGCGAATACACCATTCCTCTACATTTTTTAGCTTAATTTTCATACATGCTTAGACTTTTATTTTTGAGACTCTACTCAAATAGGGATAGTCCCTTTAAAGTATTCATTTATGTTTGTATTTATGTTTCTTCATTCATCCAATTCCTTAAAATACTACCACTATACTTGTTCAATTTAGCCACAACTTTCAACTTTGCCGTCCTTTTCGTTCCGTTGCTGAAGTAATGGTTCAGGCCTATAAATACATTTATTTTGTATTTTGTTCTATACTATACTATTCAAAAAAAGTAGGGGATATTTGATTTTGGGGGCATAATACTAAAAAAGTCACTATAGAACCTAACAGAAGAAACATTTCCAGTTACATGTGACGCCCAAACGCACCAATAGCTACCGCATGGAATGCAGGTGATGCTTGGGATCATCATGGGGGTCCAACACAAGATTTGCACGACTCTGACTTTGAATGTTACAGTCATTATGGCATTGAATTCCAGGGTGGAAACATCAGTTTAATTGTTTTAGTGACCAGAAAACAAATTTTGATATGCGTCGGCTTACCCAAAATGAAAGGTTACGTGCCCTTGGCATGCTACAGATCGGCACAACACAGGCGGTTGTGGCGCGGACGATGAATGTTTCTCAGTCTGTCATAAGCAGGCTATGGTCCAGATACCGTGATACACAATCTGTACAGGACAGACCACGCTCAGGTCGACCAAGGGCGACAACTCAAGCCCAGGATCGATTTATCCGTACCTTGGCCTTGAGAAATCGTGTCATCACAGCAAATCAGATCAGCGCTCGTCTTCAAACAGACACTGGTGTGAGAGTGAGTGGCCAGACGATTCGGAATCGACTGCATAGGGGTCACCTTCGCGCCCGACGTCCTCGCGTGATCCCTTGTTTGAGAGATCATCACATTCAGGCAAGACGTCGTTGGTGTAGGGATCGTCAACACTGGGATAATCGACGCTGGAGCAATGTGATGTTTTCAGATGAGTCAAGGTTCACTGTTGATTTTTTGGACAGACGTAGGAGGGTGTGGCGTCGTCGAAACGAGCGCTTCCAAGACGTTAACGTCATCAGACATGATCGATTTGGGGGTGGTTCTGTTATGGTGTGGGGAGGCATCACTGTTGCTGGAAGAACGGCTTTACATGTTGTTGCAGGGCGTGTTACAGGCCAGTACTACCGGGACAACATCTTGGCAGTCCATGTTGTGCCGTTCGCACGACGTCATGGCCGCCGTTTCATCTTCCAGGATGACAACGCAAGATGTCACAGGGCCAGGATCGTTACAGGTTACCTCCAACAACAGAACATCACCACATTACCTTGGCCAGCACTGAGTCTCGACCTCTCCCCCATCGAGCATGTCTGGGACATGCTTGGACAGAGGTTACGTCAACGTCAACAACGTCCTGCCAATGTCCAAGAACTTGCTGCTGCGTTGCAACAGGAATGGGACAATCTGGACCAAAATGACCTTAGACGTCTCATTAGGAGTATGCCACGTCGGATCAATGCTTGTTTGGCAAACAGAGGAGGATTTACCCGTTACTGACTTGGTTGTGATGCTGTGGTAACTTTGCTGTTTGACCCCGGGTATCATTTTACCCTTATAATGGTCAGTCTGTGCCTTACTTAGTCTAACGATCATTTGGAATAAATCGATGAATGTGAACTTCATTTCATTTTGTCATTTGTTTCTTCGTCAGTTTCATTAGGTGACTTTAATAACACTTAAAAATCAAATATCCCCTACTTTTTTTGAATAGTATATTTAGGCATATAAATCCATGTATGTATTGTTTAATGGTCGAGAGCGAGACATTAAGTAATATATTGTAACATGAGGGCCGTAGGCCCGAATGTTTTTACAATATATTACGCAATGTCGTAAGCTCGAGACCATTAAACATCTTAAAATACTGACACTCCGCACGAGCTTTTACGTCACACTAGTCCAATATCTCACTGGTATGAATAAAGTACTATTGGCAAGTTGCCCGTACGATTATTTGAAATAATGGTACGCCAACATCAAAGGGTGACGTCACATCTGTATTTTAATTTTGGATAATATTGTAATCAAAATATAGACCTAATAGACCCACTGGTCTGACGAGAGAAAATCCCCGGCGTTTGCTGAACACTGAAAATATGTAAGTCTACGACTCGTCAAGGAGGTCTCGGGTTCGTTCCCGGTGATAGACGAGAAAGTTCCTGTATTATTTCGGAATGTGATAAAATTAATTTTCGGAAAATAAGATGAGAGAAAAATAAAATTGCCTACCTATTTTCGTTATTGACCCATTAACATTATAGGCGTTATTAAGGACGATAATAACAAAATATTTAACCAATATTATACAACCGCTATTAGTCAACATTGTCTAAATGGATAAGAGAAAAAAGAAATTTGTATCTTTTATTTTCAATGAAAACGGAAGTATATCTTTTATGATCACCCTCCTACACAGTTTCGATTTGATAAGAGGAAAATCGGTACGTTTGGTGCAGTCGTAGTTTCATAACTGTATTAGAGCCCAATACTCTAGAATAAAAGCAGTGTTTAAACCAATCACTAAGACACTTTTACTTTTAAAAATGGAAGGGATGTGTGGTCTAGCTGTCTAACGCACGCACTTTAGATAATAAGGTCTGTCAGTGAGTCAAGTTGTGTGGTTTCGATTCCACTTGTACGTGATAAGGTGTAGGGTCGCCTGTCCAATCCCATCCGGTTTCCTACCACTGCTAAAGACACCTACTTGCAAGCAAATTGTTGAAATAGAATTGTACTGGTTAGTCTCGAAATTACCTAGCTTGTTGGTTTCTCACCACCCACCCCCACCTCCACTTGCCGGATTGCAACACCTTTCTCATTTCTCGGCTTTTGTTTCCTTTCCCGTATGCTGCTGGTGTCTCTCTGCTTTGTGTGACATTTATCCTGTTTCGATCACTATTTGTTTCATCCATTTTTCGGGAATCGAAATTTCTTTAAATTTAAAACATTTCATTTCTCGATAATCATCGTTAGCTGTTTCATTATTTTTGGGGAATTAAAATTGCTGGATATGTCAGTTAAATTAAAATGTATATTATAAATTGACTGAAAGATGAAACAAGTCAGGATGTTATGTGTGACGTGACATTATTTGGTCTTCTGGGTCTGGATGAACAAGTTACGCGGAGAAAGGAAAATATGATAATATTATGACACATTCACGGATAGCTAATAATATAGATAAAAATAGGTATGGGACGGATATATCCAAATAAAGTAATCGATGATTCAGTTGACATGACTATGGTCTATGTATCAGATCGGCCATTTTAATTTTTTTATTTCATTGCCAAAGGATCTGGATTGATTTTAAATTACACAAATCAGGGCACAAATCTGGAGAGCATAATCTTTTGATGCTGCTGTGGTCAATTTGGCTATAGAATTCAATATTCAAGATTATTTTTTATGCATAAAATTCAACAATGTTCCAGGTCAATTGATATTTTTAGTTGCATTGTATAGGGCTGTGATATAAATAGGGCACAAAAGAAAGGTAATGGATCATACATTTCAAAATCTTTTAAATTGAAATTAGTGAGCAGAAATGAATTAAATTTTTGGAGATAATGCACAGCTTCAGATAGAGATAATACGCTAAATTATTTGATAAAATCTAAACTATATATACATCAATACATACCTTAAACGGTGAGAGAATAAAATGTGATGTCTTTCAGCGTGGTGTCTTTCAGAGAAGTCACAACAATTATATTGAATGGCCTTTAGAATTGACTACTTTTTAAAATCTGCATTGGCCATTCTATTGGAGATTTTGAAAGGGAAATCTTTCAACTATGTTATAATACCCAAACGGAGCATTAGCGTTAGCTATAGTCATAGTACTTTTATATACTTTAAAGGGGCATTGTGGAAGATCAGATAAAGATCTGGTAGTTCTCACTACAATAGTTATAAATTAGATAATGTAAAGGAAATATACTGAAAATTTCAGTCAAATTGCTCCACTCTGGGCTTTTCGTCAAATATTGACAACGGTCCCAGATCCGTACGTTGAAGACAGGGGCTTTCTCGGTGATCGAAACTAGCATAATATATGTTTAAGGGCAAGGTAAAGTGACAAAAATTGTCACAACACCTGAAATGGGGGGGGGGGGGTCCTCAAAAAAATCATTCACATCTTTAGTGCCTTTATTTTGGTGTCTAAACGTGCTTGAGATGATACTGAACAATAAAAAATGGATGAAAATCAAAAATAATGACTTTGGAATTTGTAACTTTGGAAAATATGAAGCAAATATACCATTCAGCGCTGCGCAGCTACAGGATAAACAACTCAACATGGGAAATCACAAAGTCTCTCAGAGATACCTGAATATATACACTACACCCATCAAGACTTCAAATTTTGAAAACTATCTTTGTTTTAGCACACCACGTCCATATAATTAAACTATTTTTTCAAATATTCTCCATTTTTTTCAAGGGACTACTTTCAGACTTTATTGTATCGAGTACCATCATAAACATCATTTGGATTAAATATTTAGGGTCTGTATGGAAAATTGTAAATACTGCATCACAATTTCCTTGAAACTGCTTTTGGTTTTCAGCAATTTTTTATAATGAATACATATTGTTATCATTTGTATTACTTCTTAATTTACCCCTTGAAGATACACTGACAATTAAACATTGAACATTTTTACTAAGTTTTACAGTAAAAAAAAATTTGTTATAAATTTTATTCAATATTTATTCACACTCAACACATTGTTTAATCTTAGATTGTACACTAATACTCCACTATTGAATGTGGAAAGGTCCAGCCGAATGATTGATTGGAAAATATGATGTGTTTCAAATGGTACTCCATAGAAATGAATTTGTCCCACAAAAATTATATCTAGGTAACAAATCCTATATCAGACCCTCAAAATGATTATTATTCTAACATAAATGAATAATAATCTTTCCAAAATTTAGAAAAAAGCCTTTTGCTAACATTTACCAACACTTCACAACGGCAGCCATGTTAGCTTAGATTTTGACAGTTCTGTTTACAGTTCTGTGACAGTTCTTGAAAATGAAGCGCAATAGTCTATAATATTACGATTTACCACCTGATGTAAGGATAATTGTGATAGTATAAGTCAAAAAGTATTTACTGCATTTTTACTTACTTTTCTGTGTCGAATTGCCGCCCAAAGGGAGTGTTGCTCGCATCAATGAGTTCATACATGACTTATTTTTTAAATATTATCAAATCCCGTAAATGACACCTCATTTGTATCTTGATATGAATTAATCGTATTCCGCAGTTGTTTAAATTAAAAAAATAAAAATATGTACTTAAAATTAACACTTTTCTCATTGATATTAGCATAAGGTCAAGGACATATCAGATATTCGGACACGAAAGCTACATACGAAACATTGTTTACATTTATACAACAGCGAAATGTGTTATTACTATGGTGTCACTTTACCTTGCCCTTTAGTCAGCGGTTCTCAACCTTTTTTGGCAAAGGCACACTTTGAGACACATGAAAAAATAGCGGCACCCCTGGCTAAATATATGTGAAAAAAAATTGAATTTTGCAAAATAAAATGATAAGTCAGACGGCATACAATCGTCGACACAAACTAGTCAGACTCACAGAATGACTCGAACTAAATAAAAAAAACAAAACAACACAGCCATGAACTCCAGCGAATACTCAATTAGGATCACGTGGTTTTCGCATTTTCTTAGTGTGTCGTGCAGATCTCGCGGCACAGTGGTTGAGAACCACTGGTAAAGTGTTTAAAGCCTGGTTATGTATGGAATCCCATCGTTGTCACAATGTATATAGGTGGGTGGACAGGCAGTTTATCTGGTGATGGAACTAGCGACAGCGTGAAGTTAAATCTTGTTTCGAAACAGAATGTGTTTTGTTATTCGGGATTCAAATAAAATCATTATTTTTTTCTTAAAACTGCCTGGGATATTTAAGACGGGCATGCTGTGTAGTGTTTTACGCGGCAATCTTGCCCGGACAGCGGCATTACAGCTTACTCTTATTTCGAAATGCCACATTCACAGGTTATTTACTTACATGGGACCTCAGGCTTTTGGCCCATCCGATCCCGTGACCTCTCTCTCTCTCTCTCTCTCTCTCTCTCTCTCAAAAAGAATGAACTATACAATTTGTCATTAAACATGTTTAAATATTATATCAAAGTTGGTGATAATAAAATTACAAAATTATAAAAAAAAGGGCAAGACCAATGGTTTTGGGTGACATAATACAAAAAACATTCTTCTGTTATCGGGCGTTAATGGCACATCATTGTATGGCATGATATGTTCTATGTAACCAGGAGGTCCAAGGTCCAATCCCGGTGTTGGTTCAGAAAGTTTTCAGGACAGCGGTGCAGGACAGAGGCCCTGACACATCGAACAGTGTCTAGTCGTTTGGATGGGAAAATAAACCAAGGTCCTGTGTAGACCTTGGCATATCAGCTGAAAATGACAGACTTACGCCAATCAAATAATATATACAAATTCATAAACAGTAATGATAAACCTGTCTTTAATTTTTAACGGTACCGGCAAGAAAAAGATCAAATTGCAAACAAGTATTGTTCACTGTCTACCATTTTTATACGCCCACATTGACACATTTTCATGTGAATGTATATTATCGTCTCCACTGTCCGCCCGTCCGTTCACAATTTGTTTGTGGACCCTCTACAGGTCACAATTCTTATCCGATTTTGACGAAACTTGTAATATAGCTTTATCACTAACAGATCTCGGTTCCTTTCGATATTTGCGCATATCGAATCATAACTTCCTGGATTATGGCCCCTGATTGTACGAAAAATCACGTTTTTAGCTTGTGGTCCCTCTAGCGGTCACAATTATTATCCGATAAAAAAACCCGTTCGAATATAGAGTAAATATATGGTATATCAAGGTTGTGGACACTCTAGAGGCCACAATTTTTATCCGATCTTGATGCAACTTGAAATACATGTTTATAACCCAAAGATCTTGGTTCCTGTCGATATTTGCGCATATCATATCGTAACTTCCTGAATTATGGCTCTTGATTGTACGAAAAAATGTGTTTTTAGCCTGTGGTCCCTCTAGAGGTCACAATTTTTATCTGATTTAAAAAAAAACGTTTGAATTTATCAGCGTTACGCCCTAATGAAGGTTGAGTTCGAATTTCGTGAAAATCAGACCAAACTGCCAGACAAAATGGCCGCCCCTCGTACGCAAATAATGTAAATATATGGTATATCAAGGTTGTGGACCGTCTAGAGGTCACAATTTTGATCCGATTTTGATGAAAATTTAAATTTATATTTATATCACAAAGATTTTGGTTCCTTTTGATAACCGTGCATATCCAAATTTAACTTCCTGTGAAAAATCCTATTTATAGCTTGTGGTCGTGGACCTACTAGAAGTCACAATTTGTATTCAATTTTTGAAAAAAAAATGTTTAAAAATATCACCTTTACACATCAATGAAGGTTGAGTTTAATTTCGTAAAAATCTGACTCAAACTGCCGGAGAAAATGGCCACTCCTTGTACGAAAATAGTGTAAAAGTATGTAATACCAAGCTTGTGGCACTCTAGAAGTCACAATTTTTATCTGATTTTGATGAAACTTGACATGTATGATTATAATCCAAAGATCTTGGTACCTTTTGATATTTGCGCATATCGGATCGTAACTTCCTGGATTATGGTCCCTGATTGTACGAAAAATCACGTTTTAGCTTGTGGACCCTCAAGAGGTCACAATTTTTTATCCGATTTTAATGAGCATTTAAATATATCACCGATACACCCTAATGATGGTTGAGTTTGAAACTACCGGACAAACTGCATGCTCCTTGTATGCAAATAGTATAAAAGTATGTAATACTAAGGTTGCGGATGAAACTTAAAATATATCTTTATATCCCAAATATTATGTCAGTCCATTTAGATATTCGCACATTTCAGACCATAACTTCCAGGATTATGGCGCCTGATTGTGCGAAAAATCGCTTCTTTTTTGTTAGCTTGTTCTCTATCAATCTCTTGCAAAATGTGGACGTATCTTGCCTGGCAACCGCTGAATTTTGTACACAGAAACCATCTAAAAACCACTTTGTTTCTTAATCAGCTTTATAACTACGCTATTGAAATTATGGGGTTTAATGTCCTACGCTATTCTGCTCCGACTGAGCTAATGAAGACGGGCATACGTGTGCTATGAGGGACATTTTGCACGGACAGCAGCGCTACAGCCTACTTACATGTCGAATTCCAGCTGCCAAGGGATATTGTGTGTGCATGCCATTGTGCAATCTGATTAGAACACAGATCCTATTTCGTTTCGTTTTTTTTAATTTAAAATTTACATGTTTTACGTGTACTTGTCTTTACTACACTAGGATCTGGAAGAGTTGTTATATAATCCACTTTCTGGATGATATGAGGGATTAGCCAATGAAACGGTCTTTTACGGCTTGCTTTTGGCGTGAAGTACATGGAACTGTGGGTAATCAAATGTCTGACGTCATATTGTCAAAAGCCATCGTTTGACCTCTGTCAGACCTCCCACTACAACCGGTCAGATCTTCATGTAGTAGAGGCCATCAGCTTTCCAACCCATCCGAACGACTATATGATGTACCTTGCCAGGCCCTCTGTCCTGCACCACTGATAATAGACAATAGAAACCAGAATAAATTATTGGCAAATTATTAGCCAAAAGTGTATGTTTATATCAATTGGAAGAAATAGCAATCGGCAACCTGAGCTAAAATTTAAAAATATTGGTTGTGTAAATTTTAAATTGAAACAAGCATTTGCTATGCAAGATACGCCCATATTTTGAAAGCGTTGGACAGAGAACAAGCTAAAAAGGAGATTTTTGTACAATAAGAGGCCATAATTCAGGATGTTATGCTCCGACGTTAATATCAAAAGGAACAAAGATCTTTGGATTATAAACATACGTCAAAATTTTATCAAATTCGTATCAAAATTGTGACCTCCAGAGGGTCCACAAGCTAACAACGTGATTTTTCGTACAACCAGGGGTCATAATGCATGAAGTTACGGATATAAACCTATATTCCCAGTTCCGTCAAAATCAGATAAGAATAGTGACCTTAGAGTGCCCACAAACAAAGTGTGAATGGACGGACAGAGACAACGACAATATACGTCCACATGAAAAAGTGGGCGTATAAAAAATATGGTAACAGGCCAAACTTGGTACCGAGCCAGGCCTCAATACCAGGCTTAACAGGATTGATACTTTTACATTACTGAAAATTTTGAAGAAAAGTTCCAGATCAAGATATCCGAAAACTGGTTGGATTGATTCGATGTGTGTTTAGTTATAATGTGACGTAATCACTCCAAACTGTTATATTAATTTTAATGTGAAGAAAAACTGACATTGCAATACTAGCAGCAGTATTTCCATTATAATGGACAAAAAAGATACACTAAATATATATTTTCATTCAATAGATACTAATGGTCTTATATTGATCCTCATAAGAGGTATTAACTTCAATGTGAGGAACGCTGTCATCGTCATCACTCTGGGGAGCAGAAATATTTCCATTATAATGAACAAAGGGTAATCTAATTGTCTTTTCGCCTGACTTTTGGGGCATTTCCTGCTCATTTAACGATATTTCTGTCATTTCTATATCACTGGATTGTCCTTGTACAGCCGCTTTAGAATATTCACCACAACTGTCATCTAATAATCGTTTGTCGTTCTGACTGGACATCCCAGATGATTCAGTTTGAACTGAAGAACCAGGACCTTCACAATTTTTATCACATTTCTGTTTGGTAATATTATCGGGAATTTTATCATGTGTCGAGTTTTGTAAAGAAAATTTTGAATATCCAGGAATAGGAGAGTCGTTTTCCGATACTGAATCGCCTTGGCCACTGTCGGGATAACTTTCCTCGGAATCTTGAAAAGTTCTACTTTCTACTGAGTCATCAATGTTTGAGCATAGGGGATTCTGAAAAATCAAATAATAATAAATGTAAAAAAAAAATAACTTTCTGGTTTTCAGGTCAACAATTTATTGATATTTTAAAGTGACAATACGCTCACAGTCTTCTTGTCAGTCCATAAATGTTGTTGCATGGTGATTCTTTTTAGGTACATGTAACTAACCCTTCTTTGTCTTGCTAATTTCCATATCAATTTCAAATAAATTGTGTAACAGCTGTTTCTCTTACAAGATTCTAATTTGCTAAAGGGCAATAACTTTGGAGGTATAACCCGACAGGGGCAACAGCAATAAACAACCACATATAAACATGGGTGTATAGAATAGATACAAAAAGAATATGTCTAAGGTTAAATATTTTTCAAAATTAGACTGAGTTTGAAATGACTAATATAATTTAGACATACTTGTAGATCTTTGGGTGTCATTATGTCATAAGACTTTGTAATGTATATTTTACCTCTGAAATGATAGGAAAATTTACAAATACAAAATTATTTGATTTAAAGTGTCATTTTTTTTAGCCAATACAGTGTTTATTAACAAAAGGTGGCAGAGAGAATTATGAACAAAGAGAAAAAATATATGTCTTTTCACCAAAACAATGGAATTATTTCATCACAACATAATATTTTTGTGGTGGAAACAGTCTTGTTAGAAAGTACAATGCCCCTAGAGTACATTTGTTGGTCGAAATGACTTAATAACAGAGAAAATTTAAGAGAAAAATGTCACACCCTGTTAGTAGCCTTGTCAGTAGTACATGTACTGATAGAGAAGCTGTTTCAGGCAGGTTATTTCTGCCTGAATTTGATATTAATAGACTTTAGACACACAATCCACACAAACAAGTAGATAACTCAGATACGCCAATGAACAATTTTTAATTTTAATAGGGTTTTTCCTTATGACCAATTGAACACTGTCTACAAGTTTGAACAAATCGGACATGAACTGTAGTATATAATGTGTTCACAAGAAACGCTTGACAGGTCCTAAAGATGCAGCTGACTACAGTGTTGGAGTTAAAATAAAAAATAAACCAACCTGGTAACAATTATAACGATGATGATAACTGCCACAACACAACCAGTAACAACAAGAGATGTTTCTAGAGTACCTAATATTCCACTCTTTGTTTGTCCTGTATAATCTGAAACATTCATATTCGTCGTTATTTCTCCAAAGGAAGGTCCTGTGTCGAATCCTGGTGTTGGCCGAGAAAGTTCACAATGATTTTCTGGTGTGGTTTCCCTTTGTTAGTGGTGTAGAACCCAGTGTAGGACCAGACAACGGACAATGTATAGTCGTTCAGATGGGATGAAAAACCGGCCCATGAACACATTTACATGCTATCCGAGTAAAATTTCCTTCATTGCACACTGAATGGCGTTTGCCTGTCTTCATTAGCCCAGTTGGTGCAGAAAATTAGGATATTAAACCGAATTTCAATTCTCCAAAGAGAACACATAACACATAACACAAAAATGTTTAGCAGGTATACAACTTTCAACAAAATGTCTTTGTTACAAAATATTTAAAACCGAATTCAAATTAGAACCATATTTTAAAAATTTAACAAACATTAACATACAAATTTTGTCTAGATTCAGACTTGGGAGTCACCGATTACCGATTGAGTCGGGGAGGTGGAATAAAACACCACGAAACGAAAGACTATGTCATGTCTGTGACTCAGCCGACATCGGTGACGAATTTCACTATATTTTAAATTGTAAATATTTTTCTTCTGAAAGAAAAAGATTATTGCCAGATTGGTGCAAAAATCGCCCAAATATATTCAAATTTCAAAGTCTTTTTAATTGTAAAAATACTGTTGTATTACAGAAGTTATGTCGTCTCATTAAAATCGTTACATCAAAAATTAATCCTCCATGAAAACCTTTTGTTATATACTTAATATACACCACTATTGTTGTTGTCAATATTATTTATTAATTATTGATATTACTTAATTGTTCGCACGTGTCATTTAAGTTTGAATCTTTGTATATAAATGTGCATTATCTCAATAACTATGTATATATAGTTTTGGAGAATAAAGAAGTTAAGATAGATTTTCATGTAGTGAAAGACCAAAACAATGATGGACTATCATAATGAGAGTGACCAGTTTGACCTCTTAATTAGCATATTTTATGACAATTTATTCATTCTGCAGCACAAATTAAAATGCAGACCTAATTAAAGATACTTTATGGGAGATTAGATAAAGAGCTGGCAGTTCTCACTATAATAGTTAAAACCTAGGTAATGTAAAGGGAATTTGCTGAAAATTTCAGTCAAATTGATCCACTCTGAACCGATAATTTAGCGATTGAATTTTATGCCTAACCTCGATCATCATTACTAAAGTCGGTAGGATAAAAAAACATAGTCTCGATTATCCATATTTTGATTTAATCATCAATGAGCGTTGAGCCGCAGACTGGATTCCAATCCAGTAATTATCGCAAGCTAGCGATGTCATCGAGGGTTGATTATGGTCTGGATAGGCTAATTAATGTCTAATTAATAATTTAGATAACATTTCAGGCCTAAAGAAAGACCTGCAATAATGTATAGGTGTATGTTTAATGATGTATTCAGTTACCTCTTGTGTTACCTCACAAGTGGGAAATAGCATCTGTTACCAGGGTATCATCGATGCATCTCAAGTTCAAGAGTTGTGATGTCACAAAAAGAGAAATACAGCAGAGAATTATACCAGCGGTTTTCAGGCAAGATATGCCCACATTTTGTAAGAGATGGATAGAGAACAAGCTAAAAAAAAACATTTTTTCGTACAATCAGAGGCCATAATCCAGGAAGTTATAGTCTGCAATGTGCGAATATCGAAATGGACTGAGTAATTTGGGACATAAAGATATATTTTAAGATTTCATCAAAAGCGGATAAAAATTGTGACTTCCAGGGAGTGAACAACCTTGGTATTACATACTTTTACACTATTTGCGTGAACGGGTCGGCCATTTTGGCTAGCAGTGTTGGTCCGATTTTCACGAAATTCGAACCCAACCATCATTAGGGTGTAATGGCGATGTATTCAAACGTTTTTTTTAAATCAGATAAAAATTGTGTCCTCTAGAGGAACCACAAGCTAAAAACCTGATTTTTCGTACAATCAAAAGTCATATTTCAGGAAGTTACAATCCGATATGCGTGAATATCAACAGGAACCAAGATCGTTGGGTTATAAACATGTATTTGAAGTTTCATCAAAATCAGATCAAAATTGTGGCCTCTAGAGGATCCACAACCTTGATATATCATATATCTACACAATTTGCGAACGGGAGGTGGCCATTTTGTCTCGCAGTTTTGGTCCGATTTTCCCGAAATTCTAACTCAACCATCATTATGGTACAATCAAGGACCATAATTCAGGAAGTTTCGATCCGATATGCGCAAATATCGAAAGGAACCAAGTTCAAGCTTAATCAAAATCAGATGAAAATTGTGACCTCTAGAGTGTCCACAAGCTAAAAGCGTGATTTTTCGTACAATCAGGGGCCATAATCCATGAAGTTTAGATCTTATAAATGCCAATATCTGTTGGAGATAAACCTAAATTCAAGTTTCGTCAAAATTGGATAAGAATTGTGACCTGTACAGTATCAACAAACAAATTGTACACGGACGACGTCCGGATGGACAGGGGCGACGACAATATACGCCCACATGAAATGCGTATAAAAATATTCATCCAAATGAGAAAATGAAGCAATTGCTTTGGAATTTTAGAAGATATCACTAGAATGGTAGTATTATAAGCATAAAAAACCTCTTTATATAGTTTGATTCATTATTGATAGATGTACATGTACATGGGCCATCCAAAATGGGCATCTGTAAATAAAGAGAAGGGTACCAAATGCATCTCTAGTTTTTAACACGACTTACACCATTTCCTCCAGCGGTAATGAATAAAATAAATAAGGCATTAAGTCCTGCTAGTTTTATATCTTAATCCATATTTCATCACTTAAACCATAGTAAGTCAATTAATTTGATGTAAAGAAAACCCACAAACATACCTTCCGAGGGATGAAGAACACTTAATGATGTATTCCATAAAATGGGACTGGATATATTCTGGCTTTCTGCGGACATTCCAAAATGTAGAAAACAACCTTCACATGTGATACTTTCTTCCTGTGTAATATCTATTATATGACTGTTGTATGATGATGATGATGATGATGATATTGATGAAAACAATGACGTTTGTGATTTGCCTGATTTTATGGTGACCGTCTTACTTGAGATTCGTTCCTGGAAAAGAAAAGTCATTATCAAGAATAAACATGTACCAATAGACCTTATAAACCATTATAATAATAAAAACAGTTTACAAAGGTAAAAAAAATCATCAGGATATTAACTTTCATTTAATATTTAATCTAATCTGACATTTTACCTATGCCTTACCATTATTATATCATTTTTAAATTAAAAATTGCAGTCTAACATTTCCTTTTAATTAATACTTAGTATACAATCTATCAAGCCTAACTAATTTTACTAATACTAACTTTACATTCTACCCATCCTCCTAATTCTACCCATGTTACTGTCAGAAAATACATACCAATTCTTTCAACTCTTTTAATTTGTACTTTGTTTATTACATCAATCAATCCTAATTAATACTACCAATCTCTCCATCTTCTAAATACCAACCCTATTTTCTGTCCAGATTTTTTTTTTAGAAATACTTACCAAATTACAATCTATCAAATCTTTTATTAATACTAACCTAACACTCTACTCAACCTTCTAGTTAATACTAACCTTACACTCTACATAACCATCTCGTTAATATTAACCTTACACTCCACCCAACCTTCTAGTTAATACTAACCTTATACTCTACCTAACCTTCTAGTTAATACTAACCTTACACTCTACCCAACCTTCTAGTTAATACTCTACATAACCATCTTGTTAACGCCAACCTTACCACTCTACCCAACCTTCTAGTTCATACTAATCTTCCAATATACCCAACCTTCTAGTTAATACTAACCTTACACTCTACCCAGCCTTCTAGTTACTAACCTTACACTCTACCCAACCTTCTAGTTAATACTAACCTTACACTCTACATAATCATCTTGTTAACACCAATCTTACCACTTTACCCAACCTTCTAGTTCATACTAATCTTCCAATCTACCCAACCTTCTAGTTAATACTAACCTTACACTCTACCCAACCTTCTATTTTCCACCAAATGCCATAACACCAGTAGAAATGAAGATGGTCTATGGATAAGTGTGGTAATTTCCAGGTTAAATTGCTATGAGTACCATTTAAAAGTTCAACTGTAAGTGCCAGTGGTTGACTTAATACTGAATTAAATAATAAAATGTAACAAAGTAATTAAAATAGACATATAGACTGTATGGATTTACACATACTCCTCGCAGTGTTTCGTTTGATTATACCTAATCCCACTAAACACTGCTTTAAAGAAAGCAATTTCTGTTCCAAATTATGACTGGTCTATGGTCCGATTAACAACCAATAGCTAACTGCGTTACAAAAGCATTACGCTTAAAACAGAGCTCTAAATTGGACCAAATATGTTTACATAAAGTTACGTCATGACTCACGATTTTATTATGCCCAATTAACCAGTGCATAGCAGAATATTGCAGAAAAACTAATTGTGTGACAAACGAGGCTATCAAATCGAATATTTGGACACGAACATACTTTCACCGTTTTTAATACCTTAAATCACTGTCCAAAGTTTTAGGGAAGACCCAGATTAAACGAAGGGCTGTCCTGTTGCAGTACTTGGGATAGATTTGATTGAACTGGAAGAATAGACACACTCCCTCAAAAGCTCATGTACCAGAAGCCAATCCAGCAATGGCCAGGAGGGATTTCTCGGGCCATTGCTTCAGGAATATGGAATTCACAAGAAGTACAAGTGTTAATACTGTGACATAACTTCTTTATAAGTGTAGTTATTATATAATTTCTTGATTTCATAACCATGATGTCTTATCTATGGTGATGGGGGTGGGGTGGAGGCCTTATAGTCTAAGACATGTGCTTTAGATCATAAGGTTTGTCACTGAGTCAAGTGGCATGATGTCGATTCCCAGCTTGTACGTGACTAATCTCGTTAAAATACAGATCTATATTTCGTTTCGTTTTTTATACTTTCGATGGCTTACACTACATGAAGTTGACAAGTTGTACTCGAAGGTCGTGTCATGGATCGTGAAAGCGGCTTTTGACCCTACTATGACGCAAGACATTGATTAATCGATCAGCGTTGGCATTTCTAGTCGTTTACCCGCAGTTCTGTGTATGGCACGCCAAGAAGTCGCCGTAACAGACTGTTTCATTAGCTTATCCCTCTCTTCAACCAAAACGCCGGTAATATAACAACTCTTCCAGATTCTAGTGTAGTAAAGACAAGTAAAATGAAATTTTGAACTTTAAAAAAGAAATGAAATAGGATCTGTGTTTTAATCAAATTGGTAGGTGACAAGTAATAAGGTCGCCTGTCCAACCTTATAGGTTTTCTCAAATTTCCACCCACTGCTAAAGACTTCCCTACCCAAGCAAATTATTGTAAAAAATCTTCAACCGTATGTTAGTCCTGAAATGACCTAGTTTGTGTCAAGTGAATGTGAAACCCCATTTCTGTCTACCACTTATCTTTCAGATAAGATCGACCTGGAATTAGTTTTTCAATCATGGAGCTTGATCTAACTTAAAGGGACAATAACACTCTTGCTGGCTTGACAGCTCCAGAAAATAAAAAAATAGCCTTATTCTAAGTACTAGATGTGTTAGTGTCTTACCTGTTGTGTAAATTATCTTACTTGTCCAGAGGGCTCAAAAATATTTTAAATCCAAGTCACATTTAAAAAGCTTTACGTCAGGCTTTTCAAATCATTTATTTGAATTTTTCCAATATTTTTAAATTAGGTGTGTTAAGATGAATTTTGTATCATCAATTAATTGGAATATTGTAAAGTAGTGCAATTTGTTGACCAGAATAAAGATTGGGACATATTATTCAGTTACAACAAGAGTGGTATTATGCCTTTAAAGAGCACATAAAATGAAAATATAAAAATCATATGGACTTTAAGCCATATAAGCATATCATTTTGATCAAAAGTAAGCCAACAATACATCTACAATAATAGGCTTCCGATTAAAGCAAGATGTGTGTGAAATTGTTAAAGATGCCGCTAATATAGACACCAATGAAGCCAATACACATGATTAATTATGTCAGCTTTGACGAAACAAAAGGGTTTAATTAGTTTAAACTATGTGTCAAGTAATAATCATATAAATTTGTAATTATTTGTATTATTGGTCATTTCAACATACAATTATTTAAGGTTATCCTGTAGTAGTATTGTTCAATTCTGACAAGACAAATGATTGCTATAGCCCCATCATATATATATGTTTTATCCGTATATAACGAAACATCCACAATCCTAATTCACACACCTACTATTCACAGTGTTATAATTTAGAACAAATCAAAATGGGATTAGTCTGTAAACTTTCATACATTAATAATTTATGTTTTGTTTATTATAACTTTTATGAGAATGATCTGTTGATCTCACCAATTGATAATATGTTACTCAAAAGATTTTAGCGCAGATTATGGTTGGCAGTGAAGGATGTTCACAAATTTTCAATTGAATCATTTCTGGACTGATATTTATTTTAGAGATCCAACTTCCAGAATATCGAAGTTTGCAAGGGATTGTTGTTTCTCTTCTGTAATACTAAATTTCAAAAGAACTACTTGCCTTTCGCAGTTGAAAGAATCCTTTGTGCTGAGTAGAAATTTGATAACCCAACTGTGTTGTTGGCAAGGATCATAACTATGTCACCTTCCAGAAAGTTTCTAAGAATTCCTGATACCTTAGAACTTCCAAATGTGGTCTGGTAAATCAGTAAAGAAGTGGTTTCATTGTCTTTGTTTGTTTCTTCCAAGGAAATATTTAATCTACTCAGTTTTTTAAATGAGATATTTTCTAATATAACTTTAATTAGTTGATTGTTATCTGTGCGAATTCTGTAGATGATGTATTCTAAACCAGGCCCATTTTCTCTTAGTTTTGGTATTTTCTGTAAGAGAAAAAAGTCATGCAAGACCTCCGCTATACACCCCTTAATGGAATCTGCTTAGTTTGTTGTAGTGGACTCAACCCTGGCCTAGATAAATGAAGCACATACTAGATGTTCCTTAATCTGGTCGACTGAATATGTGTGTTCATTTTTAAATAATCAAACTTTTTCAATCTTTCAAAACTGGTCACAACTTAAAATTCATAGTTGCCATAACATATACATACTATTGATCAGTGCAATCAATTCTATATATACTCTATATATATATAGTCTATTAGACCAAGTTGCCATTTAAAAAAAACAAAGACTGTCTGTCAAGACACACTTTTATGTCCAACAGTAGCAAAGTCATTTCTGTGTTTAAATTTCAGGAATATGAAGGTTATCAGGGTAATATAATTGTGCCAGGTAATTTGATGAGCCCAAAGAACAATCCCTGCAAGAACCATGTCCTGTATGGTGTTCACAAGAAATTACTGATGCACACAGTGGATGACAATATGTTTAAGTCGTTGTGAATAAAAACTCAATATTCAACATTCTCATGAAGTAAAACCTACATTAAAATATACCGGTATATCACTTCTAATCAAATAAATCATTATGAGGAACAATCAATAGTAACAAAATGATATCTAGTAGAAAAACATTGTGACACCCTAGACAATCCTCTGATAATAGTCTTTGTTAAAGTTTATCAGTACATTCATGCAGATACAAGTAGCAGAAGATATTATTACCTGCCAGTAAAGAACTATCATATTTTAGAATATAATCTAAAAAAAATTATTACCTGCCAATAAAATACTATTCCATTGTCCTGTAAATTGTAAGAATATACCCCCTTTAAGAGTTCTGGGGCAGCAGTTGGCCCTAAAAGTAAGTAAAAATCTTTCTTGAAGGCATACTGTAATTTACAAAATATTTTTTCAAGGATACATCACAGTTTTCACTGTCCTCCACAAATCAGCGTCTGTCAGACAAGATAAACCCACATTTTGCAAGAGATGGATAGAGAACAAGCTAAAGAAAAAGCGATTTTTCGTACAATCAAGGACCATAATTCAATAAGTGACGGACGGACAGACAATATACGTCCACATGAAAATGTGGGCGTATAAAAACATGTTTATTGAAGAATACAAATCAAATGCTGTTTGAAATGAGTTTTTCTGTAATATAGGGGTTATGAAGCTATATTTTTCATTGAGTGACCTGATAAATGTGACTATTCGATACAGAAAGTTATGGATTGGACGAAAAAACAACTGTTTACACATTGGTATAAACACATTGGTAGCTCTGTTGTCAAGGCAAAATTATCCATCATCATTAGCCAGGTTGGTGAGTATGGTTAGACTTTAAACCCGATTTCATTTCCATCTCCAACTCCATTGTAAATCTGGGCATAAACATTTCTGTAAGCGATAATTGGATCATTCACTTACGATATGGTTTAGTTCTGATTTTATGAACAACTGGGTCACTCCAAAACATACCACCCTTGACACGCCATATTATTGTTACGCTATAGTTGATGTAAGCATGGAGTTTGCGAACTGAAATATCTAGTTGAGAAGTCTGTGTTCTTTTAGTCTTGTTCCTTACAGGTTCAGGGGTTTTCTAACAAGAAAAGATAATATATTATCAAGGTGATTTTAAGGTAGATTAAATTTAATTTTGTGTTGGACATATACCTTGTTTAAACATACGTTCAAGTATGGTATGTTAAAATCACCGAAACTGCTTAACAATAAATAAAAATTATTGGCCTATTGCAATCATGAGTAACATGATAATCACAAGGAATCCCACGACATACGTCATGTAGTTATCAATTATGACACTATTGGAAATGACAATGCAGTAACTTTTCTTCAATCAAAATAAAGCAGAATGTTTGCATTTCTTTGAATAATTATCATAGAGCTTCAGCAGGGTTGGTTCACAGAGGCCTGGTGAATGATGTTCCTGTTTTTTTGGCTGAGATTCTGAAGTGGTGCGATCTGTCAGATCAATCTTGATCGTTGATTCATAAAAATATATAGCTGCATAGGACTAGTATAATTTAATATCTTAATTTTTTTAAATTGCACAAACTACCGAATTTGATTATATAATTACCAAATCTTCATCTGTTATGAGCTGTTCTACGACTATATAAACTTCTCTGCTCAACATAGACGGTATTAAGTTGTCTATCATGGACCCCTGTATACGAATTATCTTCCTTGATTCGGAAGACAACTTAACACCAACAATAGGGTTTGGTTTAACTATAACATGAAACGCAAACAACAATCACAATACGTTGCTTATCATAATATATTATAGTCTACTCTCAATGTTTATAAGACCAATGGATCACCTTGGCAACATTTGCATATTTAAATATGGTGTACTACTGGTATTCAAAAATCAAGTCATAATTAAATCAAAATATGGATAATTCTAGAAACAATTGAAATTTAATAATTCGTACCATAGTCGAAATAAAAATGATTTTTCTATTTTCTTCACATAAAATTGGGTTTGACTTTGTTTACTATCTCAATTAATACGTACCAGATTTGAAAGCCCGAACTTGAAAACTTTCTGTAGGCCAGCAGTTACCCGAAGTAAAATTAATAGTGTGATTCAATATATTGTTTTCCAGATCAAAAGGACATATCATGTTCAGGTAACCATTTTGTATTTGTGAATTGATGTTACAAATTCTGTTGAAATATAACAATCAATAATCAATAAATAATTAACACTTTTAAAATTTCTTAAAATTAAAGGAGCTAAATTGCTAACATTTGGGACCTAGAAATTCACAAAAGTGGGTCGCAACGCATATAATACTGTAATATGAATGTACATAAACTGATTTACATTTAATGGTTTCCGTTTTTACTCCAATTTCAAATCAGTTATGTTCGGCGAAATAAGTCAGCAATCTCAATCGAGTGCAAATTTCTAGCGTCTAGTTATTCTAGTCTACATAACTCCATTTGATTTGGTGCAATGTGTCTAGCCTCGTCCCTCGAGTCTCTCCCACACAACTGGGACTGAAGCGCATTATGGTACACGATTCGTGTACCAATGTTAAAAAAATTATTTTATCTTAAATATCGGATATCAGAAGCTCATCTTTTCCCGGTAAGTTTACATCATCAATGTTGATTTAAATTGACCAATAATTCGTGTTTTCGATGTCGAAGATTTTGGAGGATTTTGAGTTACGGACTTAGGTCCTTTAAGCTACGGCAGAACACAGTTTCAGATTTAAAAAAGACAGGGGCTAGTCAATTAAGCCCCCTTATCAATTAAGTCCCCTTATCAATTAAGCCCCCTTATCTATACATCCACAATGTCAACAAATGTTTTTTAAAAAAAAATGTAACAAAGTTTTAAAGAATCCAATTATGACGTCTGCTCTGTATTTCATTATCAAGCTTTAATAAAAATAGTCATGCAAAGCGTGGAATATACCCACACAGCAACTTTTTCTCAACTGCAGCTCATCCAAAAGAAAAACTTAGATCTTATTACCCCGTTGCATCCAACCAAATTTGAAAAATAATCTGTTAAAACCAATAGTCTCTATTGCGTTCACATGGTTTTTAGCAAAGGGGACATAACTCAGGAACGAAAGGCTGTGGATTATGAATATCGATTTGGATCGATGACCCCAATGCTTCAAGCCAAATATGAAAAGATCCATTAAAACTATAGACTTTATATAGTTATTAAGGTTTTTTGGAAAAGAGGGCATAACTCAGGACTGGAAAGTTGACAAAGGGGTGGGTTGTCTCTAAAATGGAAGTTTGCAGACCGCTGAATATCGATAGGGTCGATAGGGTCCGTCATCTCATGACCTCAATGCTTCACACCAAATTTGAAAACCAGCGGCTGCCAGGCAGGATACGCCCACATTTTGCAAGAGATGGATAGAGAACACGCTAAAAACAAACAGGGGCGTATAAAAAAACCCTGTTAAAACTGTAGCCTCTAAGGTATTCACAAGGACGGAGGTATTCAACAAAGCGGGGTGTGGGGGGGGGGGGGTAACTCTGAAATCAAAAGTCTGTCAAAAACTGTAGCTTATATAGCTTTCACAAAGTTTTCGGCAAAGGGGGGATTACTCCCAAACTGAAAGGTATGGAAAGCTGAAAATCGATACGGTTTATTCTTACATGACCCCTGCAATGCTTACAACCAAATTTGAAAAATTTCCATTAAAAAAAGTGGGCATATAAAAATACTGCTAGGTATCAAAGAAATTGTTCTTTATCACATTCTTAAGCCTTCTCTTAAAATGGCCCAACTTCCAACAGTATTGATTAAAACCCCAAATCATTCCATTCTTGACAATAAATATATACAATGTATATAATAGAAAATAACTGGTCTAATGAAAAATTCTGACAACTTTCAGCAAGAAATCTCCCTGATTTACAACCAAAATTTTCTGAAGTTATTGAGAGACAAAGTCCACCCGACAAAAACTAGGACATTTTAGACTAACATAGTCCAATTCTATTTCAATAATTGAGGGTGGCTGAATAAAACCCATCGTATAAGCTTGGAATCAAGACAACACCCCTTGATTCAATGACAGACCTTACGATCTAAAGCACACCAACCAACCCATGTTTGAAATAGGGACTTTCAATTCAAGTAAAAACAAACTACATGTCAAGTTTTGTTCATAACCTTTTCAACATAGCAAAGTATCTATGAACATTGAGGTATAACCCTGATGTGCTGTCACACTGAAATCAGCTAATACCAACAGGTTGTTTACTTTGGAGGGAGCCACGTGGCTCAATGAGTAAGATGTTGGATCACTAACCTGGAGGTCCTGTTCAGAACAGAGGGTCTGGAAGGGACAACATATAGCCGTCTTGTGTACATACTGGCATCCACGAAAAAAAAACCACCTTTTGAATTTGGTTGAGAGTAGTCCATGGCGCCGCTGTCTGGACAAAATACGTCATAGCACACTGTATGGCGTATGTCCGTTTTAATTAGCCCAGCTGGATGCTAAACCCCATTTCATTTTCATTTCATTTACTTTGGAATAATATGTTAAATAAAAATAGATGATACAGATTAACTTGGGTACTTACTTGATATTCTGACCGTCTAAAGTTATACTGCCATTTGTATCGGAGGACAGCGTACAATTACTGATATATAATCCACAATCAAAGGTCTTTGTACTTCTATTAACAACACATACAGCTGTAAAAATAAGACGGGAGAGAGAGAAGGATGGTGTTTAATGTCAACTCAACACAAACTAGGTCATTTCTGGACTGACATATGTTCAATTTTATTTCAATAATACACTTGTGCATACTGTCTTTAGCTGTGGCAGGAAATCAGAGGACCCGGAGAAAACCCATGAGGTTGGCTGGTGACCCTATTCCTTGTCACGTACAAGCAGGAAATCAAAACCATGCCACTTGACTCAATGACATACCTTATGATCAAACATGCGTGCGTTAAACTTATTCGGCCACCCCATCCCCCAAAATAAGTAGAACAATCGCAATTTTATTTAAGCTATTTAACAACACAAACATCTGTAAAAACATGAAGAAAAAAAGCAAATTTTTTAAGTCATTTCTAGCATGGATATTCTTTCACAATGTCAAGTTAATATGCAATACATCATAATATACCCTGAAGACTTTCTGACAATTATGACAAGTTTTATAGGTTTGAAAATATTTTTCCACAAAAGTGTATTAATTCAAGTGTCAGGAGTGTGTTGACATTTGTGAAGATAGTGATATTTGTTGTGAAGTCCCTCAAAATGTTAGCTAATCAGTTACCGGTATTTATTTCCAGATGAACCCACTTCATGCATAAAGCTTATTTCTATGTTAAGATAACTTATAGGGTGCAGTGCAGAACAGAAAAGAAATACATCAAAAATCCCACAGGCATCTGGTAATCAGTAGATCTTGAGTGTACCTTAATCTCTACTGTGGCCGTTTTTTCCGAATCTATCCCTGCTTGATAGAGAATCATTGAGATCGAATGATAACACACCACTGATTTGACTGGAGATACTAGCAAGACATAATGCAGTTGAAATGTAATCTTAGGCATAATTATCAGCTTGACATTTACTGACACAAAAAAAAAACCGAAATGAAATGAAATAGACTTTAATGTCACAAGGAGAAACCACACTATTCTTTGTCTGGGCCTCCATCCTGGACAAGTCACAAGGAGAAATCACACTGTTCTTTGCCAGGGCCACCATCCTGAACAAGTCACAAGGGGAAACCATGGAGAAAAATCCTGAGGAACCTTCTCAGCCAACACCGCGATCGAACCTGGGAACTCCTGGGTTGCGAACCGAGTATTATACAAAGAGTAAATGTGCAATGAGTCACTCTGATAATGACACAGCCAGTGTCTGTCTTAATTTGTGTGTGTGTGTGTGTGTGTGAGAGAGAGAGAGAGAGAGAGAGAGAGAGAGACAAACAGGGCTTAACGTCCACTCAACACAAACTAGGTCATTTCGGGACTAACATATGGTTTAATTTTATTTCCGTAATTCGCTTGCGCTTAGTGGTCGTTAGCAGTGGGAGGAAACCAGAAGACCCGGAGAAAACCCACAAGGTTAGACAGGCGACCATACTCAATGACAGACTTTATGATACAGCGCGCACGTGCTAACCATTCAGCCATCCAACTCCCCGTCTTAATTTGTAAATTAAAGTGGGAATCAGTTGTAGGCCATTTCAGGTTGTGTATTTACTATCATAGATAATGAATAAAATATAAACAAATATTAACTGCTAGATTTCACCTTTACACAACCCATTATGTTTACACTTACGTCTAATATTTGGTAAAACACCTCCTAGTAACGCCAATACTAATAACACAACAGATGACATGGTGTCAAGCTTGACAACTGTATCTTAGATCCATTCATTGCTTAAAATACATAAAATAAAGAATAGATAAATTGATTAAATGCTCAGTATTTAAGATAACTGCTGCTTTAATTGTAATTGTTTACTATAATTGTTTTGGCAATGGCTGCCATGTGAAATCCTGATGAAGGTATAGGAATGGAAATTTTTATTACTATACTTATGTGTGCATTGCAACAAGGGAGGAGAGGGGGGGGGGGGGCTTTGCTCAAGAATTATACCAAAAAATCTTTGTTTATTTCACATCATATTGGTTGGCCAAGAAAGTTCATCAGGATTTTCCGGCTTGGTTCCCCCTTGTCAGTGGTACAGTAGTTTTTAATAAATATTTTGTAATAAAAGTTAAAGAAGTTAATCTATTTTTTTAGTAATTGCATCCTACATGTACATAGGATAGTCAATAATATTAACTCTATTTAAAAGACTCCGCTTTTAATATACATTTACCTAGGTCCTGCAGCAGGGCTCTCCCACAAGCATTCGACGAGTGGTGATCGGGGGGGGGGGGCGTGGGTCTGTCCCCCTGGGCTCGAAAGTTTTTGATGGATACATGATCTCTATGACATACCAAATGACATACCAAATGTATGTACGAAGCCCTGATTATCTGTCGGGGCTTGGATATCCTGACAGTGATAAGAGCCTCAAATAGAATGAGGATGGGCCATGAACCCACAGCACAAAGGCCCGGGTAGGTTATAGTTCTTAATTCATCAATTTTTCCAAACAAAGTGGACTGACAGAATCCGATTCTAATCCTACCAATGCCAATCGTTATTCTTGTGTGTTCTGATAGCTGCCTGTACTTTATTATTGAATTATTGCATTTTTGCCTGCAGTGGTTTTACCTGTACCAATGTCATCCCTCTCGGTGATATTTGCGGCCTAGCGAATATTCACTGCTGATTGATCAGTGTGGGTAAGTGTTTTATATCATTTAAGAACTAGTTTTACTGTAATTGAGAGTACAAGTTTGTGTAACATGTGACATATATTTCATACAGGTTCATAGGAGGAAGTTTCCCTATAAATTTCGCAAGTACGTTTATTGTTTTAACTGATGTATAATATGTAATATATAATTTTAATGGACATGAATAAATAGATTTTATAGTTTATATTGATTGTACATATACATGTATGAAGTTAATTGTATACTTTCAGTCTTCTTATCATAGTCATAGACTGAATAAATCATTGAAACAGAACCCTTGTGTGGTCATTTCCTGAAGTCATTACGACTGCGAGTATGAAAATAATTCATCCTTATTGAATCAATATTACTTACCACTGATTATATACTTAATTGTAGCGTTTATTAATTGACTTGTTTTGCAACTTCAACTACAAACTTGTTTCGCCGAGTGATGATAGAAAACAACTTACCACTGCAGGGCGCTGTACTCATTAAATCCTCTATAAATTATTTCATAAAAAGTATGGAGACTACTTTCAGTTTCGGTGTTGACATCTAAGTGCAATCAGGCGTTTTTACGAGAAAACAGTTTCGATTTCCTATCTCGTTTTGTACATGATGTAGGTAGGTCAGGCCCGTAGCCAGCCTGCTGGCTGCGAAGGGGCAGTAAACTTTTTAGGTGGGGGGGGGGCCCCCTGGTGACGGATCATGAGGTCGCCGGACCCTGGGGCAGTTTACCTGCCGGGCCCCAGGGAGGAGATGATACCCTAAGGGGGGTGGGGGCGTCTCTCATCTTAGGCTTTAAGGGGTCTTCCCCCCGAGAAACTTTTTAAAATTTCGACCTGAAATGGTGGTCTGTGGAGTATATCCGGGGCGGGAAGTCATATACTTAATTAGTTCTAAGAAAAAGAAAAAAACTATCGCAGAGAGGGGACCAGTGGGAAGGGGGGCCCACTGCCATTCCGGGCCCGATGATCTCGGTTTGCGATTCTTGTCAAGCGAGCTGGTTGAGTGAGAAACGGGGGCCTAGTTGATGGAAATATTGGACAATTAACAAGACCGCTACCTGTCAACCAGAAATAATATTTCGGGTTTCGGGTTATGGAAGCATTTCTGATATCAACTACCTAATAATTTCAAAACTCAACAAAAAAAAGCCCACGTTTCACGATTTTTTTCTAACAAATATAATTTTTTGTTTGTCACCAAATCACCGGGCCCCTTCGGAGCCCGGCCAAGACATTTGCCTCTATTGTCCTCGCCATGATTCGTCACTGCTCCTCCCCAGGAAAATTTTGAAAATTGGACGGCCGCAAACGTATTTTCCAGCGCAAAAAATCGTTCACTAGCAAACTGTGAACAATGAACATAGTGACAAGACAGGGACCCCATGACAGTGGCCCATGGGTAAGTCACTACAAAAAATATGGCAGATAGATGTCAGAACATAACCAATAGGCTAATACAGTGCCGGATTAAGACTCTGCTGGCCCTAAGACACATTTTGATAGGTGGCCTGAAAATACAGATATGTTGGGCCCATTGACAAAAGGAATTTTAATAAAAGTTAAATTTAGCAACAGAAAATTTATTACAAACAAATTCAGAACATTGAGAGTACTGTATTTACTATAAGTAGCCTACATATTCCCATTCACTGCCTAGCTAGATTACGACAAACGCGTAGATGAAGAAGGATGCAATTTATTTACATAAAAATAAAGGCAAGCATTTTTGTCACCACCTGATAATTATCAAAAAAAGTTTTACTTTATTATTTTGTGGCCTGGATTTTTGGCTGGCCCTAATAAAGGCACGTGCCTTATTTGCCATATGGTTAATCCAGCACTGGGCTAATATGAGACTGGGTGCAAGGTGTCACGTCACCTAATCAATACTTCACATGATGATCCCTGACTTCTGTCTTATTACAAACAGTATAGGCTAGGTGTTTTTAGAACTATAGTCGGCCATTTTATTTCGGGAGGGGAGTGTGTGTGTGTGTGGGGGGGGGGGGGGGGCTATTTACACGAGGCCCCGCCTTTATGTGTTAAAGATTTAAAAAGAGGTAGGATTTTATGCTTAATTGTAGTTGAATCAATGGTAGCAACATCTCTTATTTCAAATGACTCCAAACAAGGAGGGTTGTGGAATGGGGCTTCATATCTAGTTTATGGGGGACATCATATTCCTCAAGCAATGGACCGACAAATCCCAGTGGGATTAGGTATAATCAAACGAAAAACTGTGAGGAATATAGGGGGGAGGGGAGCATTGCCAATCAGACGTTGACAAGCGAGCAAGCTGGAAGATTTCCACATAGAACTGTACTGAATTAATTATATACGATCCATGATTTGGATAATCGATTTGATAAATAGTCGTGGTAAATACAACGGTTATATGAAACCAAGTAGGCTATTTTTGCCTTAAATGTGATTGAATGGGATTTGCAAATCGATTAGCCATACGTCTCATATGTGTCGCGATATGTGTACATTGAAAGGTAGTAGGCTACACGTGTTTAGCGAGACTACGGCAAACAAACAGTCCTCCGACAGATACTAGATAGTGCATTTTTGATTGCATCGTGAATATGTAGTACAAAGTTCATATAGCGACCAAATATTTGCTGAACTTTTGCTATATTAATTATGTATTAACGTCAGTGGGACAGGACGGGGGGGGGGGGGCTGGTGTCGACTTGTTCGGATAGTTCGAAAATCGAGAACCATTAACAGCTGGAATACGAAAAAAGAGTAGGCCGTAGTGGCGCTGTCCGGGCAAAATCCCCCCACCCATGTAGTTTTTGTATAGACTACATTACTTACGATATCTCCGTAAAATCGACTTCGATCGGTTACTAATACTATGTCGTAACGTTACGGCCTTCGCGGATATGACACTCTGTATCAAGGTCTCCCCGTTATTTATGTGTGGAATAATACTGCCTACGTTCTTGTCACCTGTGTTAGGTCGGGGGTACCCACATGCCCATATCCCCTCCACCATGGTTAATTCGGCGCTGGTCTCTGACAATTTCGACAGCAATATCTCTCCATATTTATAAAAATGTATTGTTACTGTATGTATAAATAACTAGAGACCTGAAAAATATACACACGTATATAAATATAATACTCACTTTCTTTATCACTACTGCACCCCCGCCATGTTTCAATCGATTAATTAAACTACGTGACCTGTGCTTCAAGGTCCAAGCCCTCGGTTCTGTGAGGGTGAGATTCCACTTAAACCCAACTATTTCATTGTCTTCGTGTAACGCTTTGATTAATAACCACAACTGTTTAGGTTATTATTAGTATTATACGGTGGCTGATTTAGGACACGCAAAAAAAAATAATATCTCGAGCGCTCGAGATACTAAGTCGAGCGCCTGATATACTAAGTCGAGCGCTTGAGATACTAAGTCGAGCGCTCGAGATAATTAATTCGAGCGCTCGAGATACTAAGTCGAGCGCTCGAGATAATACAATCACCACCACTAAATATTTCCCGTTATATTTACAACCTTCCAAGTGGGGAATATATCGAAAGTTATTATATGAATCAATAATTGTATATATCGAGGTTACATAGTTTTGCTAGGAGAGACTGACATTTTCTCTTATCTAGAAGCGCGGGTCTGACCCAAGGTTATTTATTTCATATGTAGGAACTGATCATTGCCTAATTTACCCTGGCGCAAGTGGCGCGATCTTCCGGGCTTCTACATTCAATCCCCGCAAAAAACAAAAAATATTATCTCGAGCGATCGAGATATTAAGTCGAGCGCTCGAGATATTATTTTTTTTTTTTGCGTGTCCTAAATCAGCCACCGTAGTATTACCCATAATGTAATGTTATGTTTACTATGTATTATATCTTTTTCCCCGTGACCTATTATTACGAGGCCTATTTATAGTAGGCCTACTGTATTGTATAAGCCCCCTACTTGCAAAAATGTCTTAGTTTAGATCTCTTATTTTGTAACTATATACAAGTAAAATAAGTAGACCTAAGATACCGGGTCAAACCTGGTCCCGAACCAAACCGATCCCGATATTATTATATTGGGTACGATTAGTTCATTTCTTCTTCTTTTCAACTTGTATCAGAATGCGCCCTTTGTAAGATAGAAAGGAGTATTTAAATCAGCTGTAATGTTGGTTTCAATGAAAGGGTCGTTTTCAGTGGCCTATTCATTACTACTCTATCGATAGACATGTTCGAAGATTGCCTGCATTAAGTATGTTATTATTGGAAGTGAAGAATGTGTTATTATTTGAATAAAAGATAGTCTTGCAAATCGTGAAAATGCGCCCACGCAGAAGCTATATGTCTTGAGAAAAATATAGCCATCGTAGATAGCAACTTATCCGAACGGAAAACTTATTATGCCTTATTATGCCTTCACGAATCTTATCGCTATTGACTGGACTCTCTCACAGACCTAATGCTTCACACCAAATTTGAAGACCAGCAGCTGCCAGGCAGGATACGCACACAAGAGATGGATAGAGAACAAGCTAAACAAAAAGCGATTTTCGTAAAATCAAGGGCCATAATTCAGGAAGGTACGATCAGATATCGAAAGCAACCAAGTTCTTTGGGTTATAAACATACATTTCAAGTTTCATCAAAATCGGATCAAAATTGTAACCTCTACAGGGTCCACAACCTTGATATACCAGATGTTTACACTATTTGCGTACCGGCGGTGGGGGGGGGGGCATTTTGTCTGGCAGTTTTGGTCCGATTTTCATGAAATTCGAACTCAACCAACAATTTTTTTAAATTGGATAATAATTGTGACCTCTTGAGGGACAAGCTAGTAACGGGATTTTTCGTACAATCAGGTTCCATAATTCAGGTACACTGAAAAAACCCTTGTGTTGGATCTCAACACAAGAACTTGTGTTAAAAATATTTAACACATGTTTGTGTTGTATTGCATTGCAATGACACAAGTTTGTGTTCTTTTCAATGTCTTAACACAAACTTGTGTACATTTATAAAATCTTATGTGGTTTTTTTTCCCATATAATTAATTACGTCGACATTAAAGATAACATTTATTATGTTCCTTTATCACATTATGTTTTTTATTTATTGAGAAAATCTTAATGGGATTGGGGAACTGGATTAGGGATCTGGCCTAGCCTATATGTAAAACCACTCTTCCTGAATTTGAATGTCGAGTAATTCACTTGATTTATTTTTTAATATTTCTAATTATCTAAAAGGATATTATATTAATTATTACAAACATTAAGTAGAAATCGCAATGTATGTATCGTGCGATGCATTTAATATCTCTTTTAAAACAACGTATTTTATAACAGTATACTGATATAAGAGATCAAAGTTTTAGTCAATTATTATCTAAATATAAACTATTTATTTAATTAGATATAATAAAAGATTATTCTGATTCTACTCTTTGTTTATTTTCACATCTTGTCTCAGACAATATACAGAGACAGGTTATTACAATGTCTGCATTTGGAAGTGTCTGATTGATATCGCCCCAATAAACTTGACACATCAAAGACAATAACAATTGTGTTATATCTACGTTTTAAAAAAATGTTTGAATGGGCGTGGAAATAGTCGAGTTAATCTTTTTATTTAATTTAATTGGTTCATTAATCGAAATTGGAAATTTATTCTTACCTGTAAATGACCAATTAAAATAAATTACTCTTAAAACAAAGAAAGAAATATTTATTGAAGTAATTTTGCGGTATTAAATCCTGTGGTACTGCAAATGTTAACTGTATTATTAAGCATTAGTATCGAAAAAAAGTGATATTGTTGTGAAAAAACTTTGTTCAGAAAATAAGAACATCAGGTTTGTGATTTGGGTATTTTTTAATACAATGTATTTATAACGCAAATTTTTCGTTTCGGTTAAAACAAAATATACGTCCATTTTAATTGGCCGAAGGATGTGTGACTAATAGAAATATGGCGGGCGGACAAACTGACCAAACAGTATATTTCGAGGTATTTGAGGTAAGCTAATTTAATATTATATCATAACTGCATGTGCATAATTGTGTTCTGTTTGATTAAATATTCAAAAAATCATTCTTAGGATACAACCTCGACACCAGTCCGCCCTGAATTGCAATGTTTGTTTTGTGTTCTGGGCGCCATTTTGAATATAATACAATCCAGCGATAGTGTAGTCTAATTCCTTTAAAAGGGAATCCGAATTTGTTAATTTTCTGCAATATCACTTCGGTGGAAGCGGACGTTAAATAAAGCTATTTCACGTACAAAGACCTACAATAAAATCCAGGTGGATTGGGAAAAATATTCATGTATTTTCTTGATGAAGAGTAGCTATTTCAATTTGTAAATGCCCAGTCATCTTAGACAAATAATAATTCCAACTTCAAATCAGTTGTATTTATTCAAATCATACCATGAAGAATTGTATTTTTCCACTTGCATAATAATAAAAACTTGACTTTTATTATTTTATTTCTTCAGGCCAAGAGCATGGAAAATTGGTAATTGCCTTGTATCACTGCTAACTATAAATCACAGGGAGCCTTGGGCAGAAATGATAATATGGTTCTCAGATATGTTACTGTGTACAGACTGAACAGAAAATATTTATACACTTGCTATTACAGTACTGGCCAAATTAATAGCAATTTTTTCTAAAAACGTTGCAGAAGTAACTCACTAAAATTGAAGTATGAATAAAATCATACACCGTGAATATATTGAACTGAATATTCTTACACATAACCATAGGCGTACGGGGAAATTTTTGACTGGGGGGCGGTGGTGGTTGGTGCCCCAAAAATGTAGTTAGGTTCTTAGTATGTTACATAATAATAATAAATTCGCTGTTAAATTGGACACATTCAAGAACACAATATTTTTTTATACAACTTTTACAAAGTACAATTGTGTGCCCAAATTTTCCCAGCATTTGGTCCCCCCCCCCCCCAGCTCGTACGCCTATGCACATAACCATATTGACATCTACTTCACATTGCATGGTTGGTCGACGCAACGCCGTGTATAGATAAAGTTGCGACAACTGTGAAGCCAGGAATTTCATATGACGTCATGCAAACTTATTATCTATTTATATGACCTATTATATTGTTGGATGTCATAGATTTCAGCGAATAAGTGTTTATAGGACATAAAACATACATTTTTTAAACGAAAAGTATAGCTGAACATACTATTATTAGTATTATACAACAAGAAGCGCACATTATTGTTATATAGCCTTATTCTATAAGAAAAATCAAAATAAAAGATACACTAGATAAAAGTACTATTAAACCAGGGGCGGATCTAGGAATTTTGAAAAGGGGGGGGGCTGCAAAATGAAGGCATTGACCGCGGAGACGGGGCTTGCCGCTGAGGGGGGGGGGGGTTCCCAAGAAAATTATCCGTCATTTCCTTGCATCTGTAGCCATTCCAAGAGCTATTTCCCAGACTGGTGTGTTTGAGTCGATGGTTCGAGTCATTTGGGATCCCTACAACGGGTTGGGAACTGACATATTTGAGTCTGAGAAAAGGCACTTTCAGCCGTAAAAAAGGGCACTGTTGAAAATTAGGGGGAGGGGCGCCCTTCGCGCCCCCCATTGAATCCGCCTCTGATTAAACATATTTAACTTGCATTCGCTTTTAAAGGAGCTAAATCGCTAATATTTGGGAACTAGAAATTGTCACAAATGGGTCGCACTAACCTTGATGTTCACAAATACGTAAGACGATATGAACATCAACTAAAAAGATATGTAATGTGATTCAGCTGCAAGGTGATATATGCATATATGCAGCATAGATAATTAAAACTTCTATTCAAGTTAAACCAACTGTATCTATTTATGTCTTACGTCGAGCTGAATACATTTTATGATTTATTGTCATTAAAACATCTATTGGTGGTTAACAGTGTGTAACTAAAAACTAAAATTGGATCTTATTATTGCCAATGATATAATGTACCTTGAATTTTTTATCACGAAGTCTATCGCATCCAGATATTTAAAGCGCGTTTACAATATATTCATTTTTTTGTATCGTAAAATTCATCTTCATTTGACGAACTACACCCAAACTACAGTCAGTGTAAACACGGTTTGGAGACTGTATCTGAACTACAGGGTACATCGAACTACAGTGTACATCATGCTTAAGAGACACTATCTAATATCCAACAGGAAAAATGACGATTAATTTAATATCCGCCAATTGGTGTTGCTGCTATTTTGTATTTTCAAAATTTATCTTCAAATTCAGAGACATCGAAAACCATATAAAGGACATTGCAAAAGTAATATCTTACGTATCTTAAGAGATGCCCTTTTAGTCTACCAAATTTATGTTTTTTTTGTTAAATTGCCTTATACATGTATTACCAAATTCGGTAGCCCTTTTAAAAGAAATGCCCGGCACCATGGAAAATACATTTCTTTAATTGATGTTTGTCAAATTCGATTTCCACACATTTCGCGTACATAACCACGATATAATGGTCGAATATTACGTACATCAGATAAACTATTTTTAAAGCCCAAAACTATTCAACTAGTCTCTTTTAGTTATCAAGCACCTGTTTTATGGGATAATCTACCATTTAGTTTAAGATGTTGTACATCTCTATATTCTTTTAAAAAACAACTTAAATCACATTTATTTAATGAGGCTTTTAACTGACTCTGTATACAATTGTTAACATGTCCATAATCTTGTTGTTTATTTATGATTACATTGTCACTTTGTAAAGTGCCCCTGAACATGTTTTATGAAAGGGCGCGCTATAAATATGCTGTAATAATAATAATAATAATAATATTACCAAATTTGGCGGCCATTATGAAAGAAACGCCCGGCACCATATAACAAATACTTCTATTTTTTAATTTGACGTTTGTCAAATTCGATTTTTCGGCACATTTCGCTTGCATAACCACTCTGTGTTTGAGGAATTTAAAAAGAAATCATGAATAATCCAACGAGTAAATAGTAAAACACACTGATTACGAGATATCGCTCTCAGAAAATTCCCCGATTTTGGGTATGATTTTGTTTGATATATTTATCACTGAACCAAACTGCATTGGTTTCTTTTGCATTTTTTTTTAGGGTAAAACGTTATATTATCCCTCAACGCCTAATACTGCAAGAAAAAAACAAATTTTGATATGTAAACCTGTATGAAGCCATGACGTCATAGCTTTTATGGCGTCATAATTGGGACCCAAAATGGCGCCTGGAAATGAGTTGTCGTAACTTTCCCACAGTCTACTCACTCATGTGCTCATCGTTGTATACCAACTATCGTTGAAAAAATCAATTTACGTCGATTTATGAATATTTTAAAAGCCGTAGTTCGATTCGGCGCCCAAGAAAAGATATAAATCTACACCAAAAACATGACAATCAATCAAGTTGAAGCGTTTTGGCGTAAAACATCTGTTTAGGCGAGATGACGTGTTTTTGGTGTACATGAGTAAGCAATAATGCTACCTGACTAAAATACCCCCCCCCCCTTGCATTCGCATGTAGTCATACATATGAGTCTCAAAATAATATAATATATTGTTAAATTATGCTCTTTTCAACTCTATACCCATGACTGGTGTACCAAGTTAAATCCACATCAAAACCCCATTTGTCGATACGTGTATTTATAATAATCACTTGAACATCCTTGGAGAATTATATCTATTTAGTGAATATTAATACCAAAGAAAGAAAACAACTCTAAATTCTGAATATAAAGTCATCAAATTCTTTTACAGATCTTATTGTGGAAACCCAAAAGTTATATGTCACCATTGCCTTTTTAATCACATTTTTGTTTTTAATGTCAAATACCAAACAATCTCTAATATTGTTTCATTATATAGAATGCAGTGTAATCCTAAACACTAAAGATTTGGCCTGAAAATTTGAAATAATATAGAGGGATCATCAATAATTAATAGTAACATTCGATAATTATAAAAATGTATTATTGTAGGATGAAATCAACCTTTATTTTTAAACATTTAGTGAACATTTCGAATGTTAATGCCTCTTTTATATAAAATGGTTTTATTAATTAATCAATTTTTGTTTTACAAATTTTTAATTTTCTCCATTTTGTTTGATTTTTATGCTATATTTATTTTATCTATCTATAATTATTTGCCTGTGCTTTATCTATTAGTTCCCATTTATATATTGTAGAAAATTTTGAATTCCTAATCTGTTAAAGGGACTATTTTTTCTTAAAAGTATTTCAATTTAGTGCATTATTAATGTCTTTAGTGCTTGGTTTGGTTGATATTAAATTTAGATATATTTAAAATGTATGTTTTGGGACCATGGGGTAGGGATATTGTGAACATATATATTATATTCTCAGTTCTTTTTAAGGTTAATTGTAAAAAAAAATTAAATAGCTTTTTTTGAGGGGTGGGGGGATATTGTTATTATTGAACACAATTTTATTAGTATTGAAATTAACTTTTTTGATTAATATTCCAAATGTCTCGGTGCTTTATTTTTCAATTTAAATAGCTACTTTTTATTTAATAATTGGGAATGGGGGGTGGGTATTTTTTCATTGTATAACACAATTTTATTAGTATTGGAATTAACTTTGTTTATTAACCTTCGAGATGTCTGTATTGGTATTAATTAGGCATTAATTTATTTTTTCATATCATTTATTGAATAAATAATAATTTAACAAACAAAATTATTATGTCATTTATCAATAATTACAGTTTAAACAGAACGAATGGAAGGGGTTGCATTCGAAAGGTTGTTATACTGGATATAAATTGGTAAAATACAACACAAGTTTTTGTTATACACAAGTTTGTACGAAACAACACGAGTTTCAGAAATTTCAACACAAGTTTCAGAAATTTCAACACAAGTTTCAGAAATTTCAACACAAGTTTCAGAAATTTCAACACAAACAAGTTTCAGAAATTTCAACACAAATAATGTGTAGATTTTCACGCAAGTTGTGTGGTGTTTCAACATTTAACACAAGTTTTGTGTTGTTTCAACATTTAACACAAGTTTTGTGTTGTTTCAACATTTAACACAAGATGTCTGTATTGGTATTAATTAGGCATTAATTTATTTTTTCATATCATTTATTGAATAAATAATAATTTAACAAACAAAATTATTATGTCATTTATCAATAATTACAGTTTAAACAGAACGAATGGAAGGGGTTGCATTCGAAAGGTTGTTATACTGGATATAAATTGGTAAAATACAACACAAGTTTTTGTTATACACAAGTTTGTACGAAACAACACGAGTTTCAGAAATTTCAACACAAGTTTCAGAAATTTCAACACAAGTTTCAGAAATTTCAACACAAGTTTCAGAAATTTCAACACAAACAAGTTTCAGAAATTTCAACACAAATAATGTGTAGATTTTCACGCAAGTTGTGTGGTGTTTCAACATTTAACACAAGTTTTGTGTTGTTTCAACATTTAACACAAGTTTTGTGTTGTTTCAACATTTAACACAAGTTTTGTGTTGTTTCAACATTTAACACAAGATTGTGTTGTTAAATAGAGACACCTAACTTGTGTTGAAAATAACACAAGTTTGTGTTGTTTCAACACAAGTTTTTTTTCAGTGTAGTTACGACCCTATATGCGCGAATATCGAAAGGAATCAAGATAGTTGGGTTATAAACATGCATTTCAAGTTTCATCAAAATCGGGTGAAAATTGTTACCTCGAGAGAGTCCACAACCTTGATATACCACATTTTTACACTATTAGCGTACGACGAGCGGCCATTTTGTCTGGCAGTTTTTGTCCGATTTTCACGAAATTCGAACTCGACCGTCATTAGGGTGTAACGGTGATATATTGGATAAAAATTGTTAACTCTAGAGGGACCGCAAGCTTAAAACGCAATTTTTCATACGATCAAGGGCCATAATTCAGGAAGTTACTATCCGATATGCGCAAATATCGAAAGGAACCAAGACCTTTGTGATATAAGGATAAATGTAAGGTTGCATCAAAATCGGAAAGAAATTGTGGCCTCTAGAGGGTCTACAACCTTGATATACTACATATTCACACCATTTGTTGATTGGAGTTATCATGGTCTTTATTGGGCCATTTTCAGGTTGCTGTATTCACAGACCGGAATAGCAGGAATACGCGTTTGCGGCCTTCTAGTTTCATAAATTTTCTGGTGTCTGGCCCAGGAATCTTAAACAGGATTGTTTTTTGATCAATATCATTTCTGTCCTTTCATCCCAAATCTGGAATGCAAGTTGCAGAAAAACGCGTTTGCGGCTGTCTAATATTTAAAATTTTCTGGGGGACGCCATCCTATACTCTCAGACGTCGAACTTTGCGCCTTCGTAGCTCCATGTTTTAATTATACATCCACAACATGTAAATGCGGCGGACTCCTGGGTTGAAGGTTTTGTGGTGATTCGAAGTAATATGTGATCAAATGTCTGTTCAGCGTTCAAAAGATATTCGCGACAGGGTGGATCCACCGCTGAGTTTAGATGATGTCGTACCCGGAGTAATTATATAAGTAACCCGACCAGATCGAGACGGGTCATTTTAAGTTACATTTAATATTAACCCAACGAACGCGACCAGCAGAGGAAAATATTAGAAATCGGTGACTAATTTCAGTAGAACATGTTTTGAAGGTATTTTCTATATCAGAAAAATGGGCTGCACAAAATGGCTTTGGGCCAAGGTGTAATGTCGGAAATGGGCCAAACGGCGCTATATAAATAAGTTCTGAAGAAATTAATCACGGATTCCTTGTATATTACTCTAATAAATATATCCAATCTGTAACATGGAATAATCAACACAATCATGTACAAAACCTTCTTTTTTTTACAGAAAAAAATAAAAAGATTAGTAAAATATAAAACGATTAAAACGATTAGAAATATACGACAAGATTTTAAAATATTTTGAAATTTATATACACAATGAAACATACTTATGTCGTCCCAGCAGTCAATTTTAAATGATCAAGTGTGAACGTTCATAAAATTAATTGAACAATCTTAGCAAGTTTCACATAGAAGCTGTGGCATGTGTAATGCTAAATAGGGGATTGGTGTGTACATAAGCTAATGCGAAAATTTTGATTTTCTTAAACTGAAGTCAGTGAGTCACGGTGGCTAAGTGAGTAAGACCATTATACTTGTAGTGTTTGGTAGCTCGCAGACCAGCCACAAGAAACTGGGTGAAACTGTATTATGTGCAGGACTAATGGTCACTACGGCCAGTCTGCGATCTAAGTCTTACTCATGGGTTTACTCAAATTTCCCCGTACACTATCCGTGGTAGCACGTACTGCGGGTTGTGAGCTAGGCTTTACGAATTAGATGACTTTAAGTGGCTGAAAAAGAACATTATCAGAGGTAGGGGTAATTGTGTACCGGTCTACGAAATGTTGTCTATACGTTTTCCTTCAATAGACATTAACGGTACTATCTTGCTCCCGATAAGAGGTATAAACTTCAATGTGAGGAACGCTGTCATCTTCATCACTCTGGGGAGCAGAAATATTTCCATTATAATGAACAAAGGGTAATCTAATTGTCTTTTCGCCTGACTTTTGGGGCATTTCCTGCTTATTTAACGATATTTCTGTCATTTCTATATCATTGGATTGTCCTTGTACAGCCGCTTTAGAATATTCACCACAACTGTCATCTGATAATCGTTTGTCGTTCTGACTGGACACCCCAGATGAATTAGTTTGAACTAAAATATGAGAATCTTCAAAACGTTTCTCACATTTCTGTCTGAGAATATTATCTGAACTTGTATCATGTGTCAAGCTAGGTACAGACAATTTAGAATACTCATGAATAGGGTTATCGTTTTCTGATACCGATTCCCCTTTGCCACTGTCAGGATTACTTTCCTGAGATTCTGATGAGAGATCAGCTGCTACATTATCAAGGCCCTGGCTTACGGAAACCTGAAAATTATAAAATGATAATTGGATTTGCTGAAAACAGGACAAAAATGCAATTGTGTCACTAACTGACAGCCTTGAGTAACTTAAGGTGCATTTCTTTTTTTTATCTAGTGGCTAACGGTTGAGAGAACATTGGGAGACTTAAACGTACAGTAGACTCTGCGATTAAACGACGGAAAAACAAGATAATCCAAGTATTTGCGAAAGCTTCGGTATTTATGGTACATGGACTATAACGCCAAATACAAGCAGTACATGGATTGTCCCTCAATCAAATCAAGTGACAAAGAAGGATTCTTAAAATAGATTCGTGCGACATGGGTTAGTTTTCTTGGGATTAAAAGTTTTTAAAAGGGAGTTGAAGCAAACTTTTGATAGATAAATTAGTTTGAATATGTTTTTAGTCCAAATAAATAAGCATATCACACAGTTTTTACGCGGGAAGGCACCTTTAATGAAACTTAGACTGAATATGAAATGAATAATATAATGTACCGGTACACATACGTGTAAATCTTTTGGTATCTCTATGTCATAAGACCTTGTAAAGTATTTCCTCACTCTGCAATAATAAAAAAAGATTGAATTAAGATTTCTATATCCAAAAAAATTTAAAACGTGTCCAAGAAGTTATTTTTATTAGATTCTAGTGATTTTCAATAGTTTTAAATCTATGTCAATTTAATGTAATCTAAATCTATATCAATTTATGGTGATCTAAATCTATATCAATTAAAGTGATCTAAATCTATATCAATGAAGGTGATCTAAATCTCTATCAATTTAACCCTTGTGTGGACACGTCGCACGAAAACCCTGGTTGGCAGCTAGGGGTAATCTAAGATACCAGACATAAATAGGTTTTTGTATGCATAATTGTATTTAAATATGACCAAACTAGAGCTTCATATAAAGACTGGAGAATAACAAGTCAAACTAAAAAGAAATATTTGAGGTATTAACGGTGAAGATATGAATTATAAGGTATTTTTGAAACCATCAAAATCTGCAAATAGCTTAATTGTCATTTCCATGTAGAATCGTCTTTTGACGGGGTTGGTAGAGCACCTAGATTTGTTTTCAGATACAATATCATCAGTAAGAAAGATTCCAAATGCAAAGCTTGCACTGAGCGCAAAACAGATTAGGCACTTGTAACCAACAAAATGTTTAAAGGAGAGGGGAGTCCACAAGACACATGGTTTCCGAGAATGTAATATTTTTAGTTTCTTGTCATGGTGAATTTTCCCACTACCTCACTTCCGTTCTATTTGTAGCATTGCTGACAATGTATAAAATTCTCGCTAGACAATTAGGAACCAGTTTCCCACATATGGGAGCGGGGTTCCGAAATACCCCTTGTATCCGCACAAGGGTTAAGGTGATCTAAATAAAAGACTCTCCACATGAACAAATTTTGTAGTTTTTTTGGAAGTCACACGTCTTTACAGGTTATTGAACATGGAAAATGCCTATTCAAACATTTTAGCATCGATTGTCATTGTTGCCATTGTTACGACAATAAACAAAGTCTCGAATGTTCGTTGAACGACAAATCGGATCCAAATCTAATGAAAATCGGATCCATAAGATTACATGGTCTTGGAGTGTTAATAAATGTCTAATTAATAGTTTATAAAACATTTCAGGTCTAAAGACAGACCTGCAATCGGCAGATTTGGCTCTTGCATAATGTGTGTTGGAGTTAAAAATGAAAAATAAACCAACCCAGTAACAATTATAACGATGATAATAATTGATGCAACACAACCAAAGACAAGAAGAGATATTTCTAGTGCTCCAAATACTCCACTATCACTTTGGCTATCTGAAACATTTGTCCATAGTAGAATTATATTGGGAGTAATATAAAATAAGAAATGAAATACAGGTTCATTATGTTGTTCTCGAGTTCTATCCCGTTGTTGACCGAGAAAATTACCCAGGATTTTCTAGTGTGGATTTTCCCTGTCAGTGGTAGGACGGATCGAGGCACCTAGTCGTTCGAATTGTGCAAAAAAAGAAGGTTCTTAGACGTCAAACTCCTCCTGAAAGTTTTAAATACGATTAGGCCGTAGATCATGTGTTAAATCAAAATTTCCCCACAGCACACTGCATGGTGTATGCCAGTTTTATCCCGGTTGGTGCAAAAAAGTAATAGTTAAATTTCCTTACTTTTATGTCATCGCAGACAATCATATATGTTTATTTCTTTTTGTTTTGCTAACATGATTTAACAGCATATTTAAGGGATTTGTATTCAACTGCCCTGACATGTCCTGACCAGGCACTCGGCCAATGAAAAGTTGTTTTTATTTTGCTAACATGCTCCAGCAACATCTTTAATAGTAAGTGCAGGAGGACCGCACTGTCCATAAACAAATACATAAGACAAACCCACGGACAAGACACAACATACATGTACATAGACATTTCAAACAATAAACAACAAATCAAGCGAATAGATCCTGGGGCCAGACGTAACCTGGAATGTGTGTTAATTTACCACTCAGCCAATGGAGAGCAGTATAATGGACAGTTGCTTTCAGTCATGTCCATGTAGACCAACAACATATTTAAACTGGTATGGCATAAATTAGACTGCACAATTCCGTGCTGATGTTTGGTGATGACCGAGGCAAACTCCTTGATAAGCATGCTCCCAAGGGCCTAGTACTCAGAAATATTAGAAAGGACGACGTTTTAAATATGCCAAAACAGGTGCAATAAAAAAAGAAAGCAAGGCAGCTTGTACAACAAAGTTAACAGCTATTATTTCAAATTAAAAAAAAACCAACTCAATTTAATTTCAGTTTTTGATGGGATGCCTCCTGAAGTGGATTCCCGGATCCATCTGCACTGCATGCATTTTTATGCAAAAGAGGTCTATATTGTTTGGGCGACTTCTCTGCTTTTGACCTGTAGTGTAATATCTATAACGGGTACAGTTATTTTTCAGTTTTTAGACAACATTCGATACTATTAATACGTCATACTAGATGCGGTAAAATATAAATCATACCATTGGGGGGCTGAAGAACACTTAATGATGTATTCCATAAAATGGGACTGGATATATTCTGGCTTTCTGCGGACATTCCAAAATGTAGAAAACAACCTTCACATGTGATATTTTCTTCCTGTGTAATATCTATTATATGACTGTTGTATGATGATGATGATGATGATGATGATGGAGATGATGATGTAAACGAGGTGGGTTCAGATGAGTTTGATTGTGCGGCGACTGTCTTAATCCAGATCTGATTCTGCAAGAGAAATGTCAGTATCAAGAATAACACAGTAAAAATAGTCTTACAACACTTGGTTGGTTTAATAAAATATCATAAATTCATTCTCATATTCAATCCAGCTCTTTAATACTAACCTTACAACATGTAGTACTAACCAAGTTAAAAAACCAATGCTTTGTTTTTATACTTCTATTTAATACTAATCTTCAAATCTACCTACTCGATACTAACCTTACACTCTCCCCAACCTCTTAGTTAACACCAACCTTACACTCTACCCAAACTTTTAGTTAACGCTAACCTTACACTCTACTTAACCTTATAGTTAAACATACATTATGCAAGAGCTAAATGTGTCTTTCTTTAGGCCTGAAATGTTATCTAAATTATTAATTAGACATTAATAAAATTAACGTATCCAGACCATAATCAACTTTAGTAATGATGAACGAGGCTAGCATAAATTCAAAAGCGAATATTCTATTTACGTTATCTATATTCTAACTATCATAGCGAGAAATGTCAAGTCTTTATCTAATCTTCCATAATGTCCCTTTAAGCATGTGTCAACATGGAGAAAACGCTATATAAAATCTCTTTATTACTAACCTTACACTCAACCAAATCTTCTAGTTAATACTAACCTTTTTCTACCCAACATTTAGTTAATACTAACCTTACACTCTACTCGGCCTTCTAGTTAATACTAACCTTACACTCTACCCAGCCTTCTAGTTAATACTAACCTTACACTCTACCCAGCCCTCTAGTTAGTAACCTTACACTCTACCCAGCCTTCTAGTTAGTAACCTTACACTCTACCAAACCTTCTAGTTTATACTAACCTTACACTCTACCAAACCTTCTAGTTTACACTCTACCAAACCTTCTAGTTTATACTAACCTTACACTCTACCAAACCTTCTAGTTTATACTAACCTTACACTCTACCCAACCTTCTAATTTCCACCAAATGCCATAACACCAGTAGAAATGAAGATGGTCTGTGATTGAGAGTGGTAATTCCCAGGTTAAATTAACATGTGTATCATTTAAATGTTCAAAAGTGAGTGAGGAGGGTTGACTCGGTGCTGAAAATAGACACAGAATATAACAATTAAAATAGGCATGTAAACAGAAATTCTTAAATGTTTCGAAGATGACTTTGTCGCTACACAGGCAACGAACTGTTCCCTTTTATCCACAACTGTTGACGGCGTGGTATCCCCTTGTCCGTGGTGCAGGACAGGGGGCCCAGCAAGGGACAACGCATAGTCGTTCGGATGGAACCGGGTTCCCGTGTGCACATTGGCGTGCACGTACAAGAATCCTTGCCAGTTGGAATTCGATATAAGAGTAAGTCGTAGCGCCGCTGTCTGGGCAAAATTTGCTTCATAGCACATTGTATGGCGTAGCCCAGTCGGAGCAAAGAACAGTAGGACGTTAAACCCAAATCCATTCCATTTCAATTAATAAGTACTTTTATTTGAAAACATAATAATAAACAATTGTGTATTATTAAAGTTAACAAAGAATCCTTGCCTTCTGCTGTTGAAAGAATCCTTTGTGCTGAGTAGAAATTTGATAACCCAACTGTGTTGTTGGCAAGGATCATAACTATGTCACCTTCCAGAAAGTTTCTAAGAATTCCTGATACCTTAGAACTTCCAAATGTGGTCTGGTAAATCAGTAAAGAAGTGGTTTCATTTTCTTTGTTTGTTTCTTCCAAGGAAATATTTAATCTACTCAGTTTTTTAAATGAGACATTATCTAAAATAACATTAGATAGTTGTTTGTTATCTGTGCGAATTCTGTAGATGACGTATTCTAAACCAGGCCCATTTTCTCTTAGTTTTGGTATTTTCTGCAAGAGAACGTCGACATGCAAGACCCAGATTAATAATGCAGCTATACCAGCTGTTCCTGTTTAAAATCAACTCATGTTATGCAGTGCCACCTTTCATGGAAATTGTGTGCTAAAATCTAGGTGGGGCACTAGCTCCGTAAATTGGGCTAAAAATGCGAATTTCAGAAAATTCGGAAAATTCGGAAAATTCATTCTTATGCCTTACTATGCAATCCCGCCATTACGTAAAGATCTGATTCCTGCATCGGGCTGACAAATTTTAAAAATGTAGACGGAAAGATAATTATCCCACGAGTTTCAAAGTTTGAGCGTAAACGCGTATATCTTCAAGTAATCCTACCTGTACAACTAGAAATTGCGGACTGACGACGGACAGAGAGTGGGCATATCCTGCTGAATTTATGTCGCAATCGATTTAAGAGAATAAAACCTGTGCGAATAAAGATACAATATTCAACAGCCGCCTCCTGAAGAAAAATTTATAAAACATAATTATCTGTACCTCGATGCAGATACAAGTAGTAGAAAAAATTTACCTGCCAATAAAGTACTATTCTATTGTCCTGTAGATTGTTCGTTCGTTCTTGGGGTTTAACGTTCGCTTCCAACGAATATACTCCCTTTAACAGTTTCGGGGCAATGGTTGGTACTGAAAGTACGTAAAACCTGCGACTTAAAGATACATTATGGGAGATTCGATAACGAGTTGGCAGTTCTCACTATAATAGTTAAAAACTAGATAATGTAAAGGCAATTTGCTGAAAATTTCATTCAAATTGATCCACTATGAACCGAGAACAAAGCGATTGAATTTCCGCCTAGTCTTGATCATCATTACTAAATTCAGTACGATAAACAGCATAGTCTCGATTATCTATTTAATTGTTAAATCGTGAAGGAAAGTTATGCAGTAAATCGGCTCACAATCCACTAAAGATCGCAGGCTAGCGATGCCATCTAGAGTTGATTATGGTCTGGGTAGGTTAATTAATGTCTAATTAATAATATAGATAACATATCAGGCCTAAAGAAAGACCTGCAATAGACAGATTTAGCTCTTGCATAATGCATGTTTAATATTTTGTATTTACTAATCACAAATATTTACACCCATGGGCATTGGGGTGCGGGACTGTTTGATTGGGGAAAGTAGGGGTGGAGCTGGGCGGCGGCGACACATAGTTTTCGTTCAATAGCGGCCGTTTTGATATAACATTAACCGACATCCCTTCCAAAATATTCCATCACGCATCTTCATTTTGTAAAAAGGGTTAACTGAATGTTATACTCACGCCATGGTTCAGTTTTGATATAACGTAAAACTGGATCACTCCAAAAAATGCTACCCTCGACACGCCATGTTATTTTTACGCTATAGTCGGTGTAAGCATGGAGCCTATAAAGGGTTGTTTTTAGTTCATATAGATCCATTGTTTCAGTTTTGTTTCTAATGGGTTGAGGTGTTATCTAAAAAGAAAATATAAAATTATAATATAGCAAAACTTCAAACTGTCAAGGAGGCAATAGACAGAGGTTTAGCGTCCTACCTTTCTGCTCCAACTGGACTAATGAAGACGGGTATACACCATGTAGTGTGCTGTGTGAAAAAATTTGAACGGACAGAAATAATTCCCAACTGCCAAGGTTTCTTTCGTCCCATCCGAACGACCTAATGCTGTGCCAGACAACCCGTCTTGTACCACTAATACCCGGAAAGCCGGAAAGCCCCAAGAAACTTTTTGGGCCAACACCTGGATCGAACTCGGGACCTCTAGGTTAGCAAGCCAGCGACAAACTGATTGAGTCACAGCGCTCGCGCAACAGACAGGCTCAGTATAAACAGGTTATCCTTTGGTGGGCGAGGGTTCGAAATGAAATAAAATCCATGAGGTTAAACTTCCTACTTTCTTCGGCACCAGCCGGATTATGCAAACGGGTAAATCAAAAGGTCATAAAGCACAGAAAAAAACCCTGTTGCTTGTCTAACTTATCGCCAAAATGTTTAGATTTTTATTTGCGTATAATCAGAAACCGCAATGTTTTTCGTTTGGTTCATTTTAGCCGCGTTGGTCATTTAACCCAAATTACAAAAAAAAAACCCAAAAAACTTTTAGCATTCTTAAACTTAGTTTATAAATTAGTTTTCAAACTAAAGTGGTATTATTTATCTTACTGATAAATGTCACATTTAAATTGATGAAATCGGACTGCCTAGGTTAATTAACAAAACCATACTTAATAATTTTTAAAATCATATTGCTTTGTTCGTTTAAGTTTAAAAATTTGACTCTGATCAAATACTTGCCAAATCTTCATCTGTTATTTGTTGTTCTACGACTATGTTAACTTCTCTGTTCTTAGTATTTGGGATTAAATTATCTTTCATTGACCCCTGTATATGTATTATCCTTCGTTTGGATGACAACTCAACATCACCAATAGGGTTTGGTTTAACTATAACATTAATAGAATTGCCATTCGTCATTCTTCTATAAATTCAGTCACTTTCTAGCGATTTTGTTTTTGAATTCCTTCTCGAACACAAAACAAAATGTATTTAATGTTCACGGCTTTATCTATAATGTAACTCATTTTTTTTAGTCAGAGAATCATGTATTTTTACGTACGGAGATAGAGATATAGGCTTTATGTTTATGTGAATATTATTAGTAACATTATTTGAGAATTGGTAATGATTAGATATACAGTAAATCGAACATCCTGACTTTTAATACCAAAACGTAAGGGTTTAGAGCACAAAAAAGACATTTTTATGCAGGAAACAGTGACTATTAATTGTAAACGATACGGCGGAAATATTGGTGATAGCAACAGGCTCCGACGTACACCTTCAGTATTCCCCTAATATCGCCCGCGTCCCTTTAATATAAAACAATACGTACTCCATTTGAATACCGTAATACCATATATATTTTTCGTACAGTTACCAGAAGTAAATCTAATATTGTGTGGCAATATGTTGTTTTGCAAGTTCACTGGACATGTCATGTTGATGTCACCATGTGTTGTTTGTGGACCAATGCTGCAATTTTTGCTGAAATATAACAAACAAATTTTTTAAAGGAGCAATCCACGATTTTACAGGGTACACGTTATTAATTAAACGTTAAAATGTGCGAAAATAACCAAAATAGTTTGTCTGATATTTTCGGCTTAAAATATTGAAGCTTATAAATTAATTAACGGGATTACTAAATTCAGTTTTGTATAGCGTGGAATTTCGCTACATATCGCCAACCACTTACGGAAACTGAGTGAGAAATAGTAAGACAGAGCTTCGGATAATTGTACATCGCCAGGCACCGGTTTCACAAAACATTCTCAGACTTAAGTGATTGAAAGTTGGTTAAATTCTTAAAATAAGTCAGAGAATGCTTTGTAAAACAGGGGCCTGGCTAATGGTTTCAAAAAGTCTTTCACACAGTAATTTGTTCCAGTACTTCTGAATTTGGGGGATTATACAGAAAAAAGAACAAAAGAGAACAGCATAGATATTGTGCACGAAGAATATTGGACCTTTCCAGGTGTCTAATTTGATTTGTGCCAATTGATTTCCCTAATTATATTCCGACAGGTTGTATCGGACCATATGGAAGCGAAAGGTTTAACCCCGAAAGTAAACCAGGGCTTTTCCCAATAAGATGTATGCTTGAATAATTATCGCGTACGTTGCGGGACATATTATTTCCGGTCAAAAATGCCTGAATAATCATCGCGTTATGAGCCATAGGTCAAGTCAAATACGTCTGGATAACTATCGCGTAGTGAGACACATTTCCAAGCAGATGACTAAATAATTTACAAGAGTGAAATAATTCGATGAAATTGTCGGGATGGCTGGAAAAGAGAAATCTATTGACAGTATCGAATATACTGTTTGGATTAGTGTTCTATCATTCGAACTAAATCGAATATTAAGCACATATTGAATATTGCTATAAAAATACAAAACGGAACTTCAAATTAATACTATTATTCATCAAACATCTATAATACCATCCAAATACATTCTCAGAAGTCTTAAATTTTCTTTTAGGCGGTTTTTTCTCTGACACAATTAAACTTTGCTAATTCAGAAATTTCTCGATATCGACGCACATTCGTGCTGACAGTTTCTAACCTGGAGCAACTCTGATGTGGAAACGTGCAAGATTCTGTGAACCAATTGCTGAAGTCATCATGTATACGTGAGCAGCTATACATCCCTAATGTAGAATCGCCACTATTACATTAGTCACTAGCTGAGATAATCCAAATTTAATTTATGCCGAAAATTCGAATATCAGATTACAGGAGTTCTGCGATCGAATATTCGGCCACTAGTTCGGATGTTTCGTATGGGTTCAATTTCAGTCAAAAAAAATTTTTATTGCATTTATGGAAATAAGGGATTGTAAATAAAGATTATAGTACCTACATGTCATTTTTTAGGGTTATTGTGCCAAATCTATCAGCAGTCATCGTACAATTACTGATATATAATCGACAATCAAAGGTCTCCGTACTTCTATTACCAACACAAACATCTGTAAAAACAATTTATTTAAAGATACATTATGGGAGATTAGAAAAAGAGCTGGCAGTTCACATTATAATTGTTAAAAACTAGATAATTTAAAGGGAATTTGCTGAAAATGTCATTCAAATTGATCCACTCTAAACCGAGAATTTAGTGATTGAATTTTAGGCCTAGTCGCGATCATCGTCCCAAAGTCGGTATGTTAAAAAACATAGTCTCGGTTATCCATTTCATGATTTGATCATGAATGAAAGTTGAGCAGAAACTCAGATCCTAATCCAGTAAATATCGCAGGCTAGCGATGACATCGAGAGTTGATTATGGTCTGAATAAATTAACTAATGTCTAATTAATAATTTAGATAACATTTCAGGCTTAAAGAAAGACCCGCAATAGCCAGATTTAGCTCTCGCATAATGTATGTTTAAATTCGAAAATATTTAAAATCTGAGCGATTCATTGCGATTTGTTATTGGCCACTATATATAGTTGGAATGGTGCGAAAATCGAATGATGATCATAAATAACCTTATCTTTAAAACATTGCTGTACTTCTATTAAAAACAAACACCAAAGAGCAATCGAAATGTCATTTGACTTAGAAAATATTTACAACCTAATTAAAGGATCGATATACGTTACTGAATTTCTTGTTGAAATTTCGACATGTAGCGAAATAATTACTTTTTTCACCTTTCACTGGGGTTGCAACAAAGCATTCTGGTGGGGTATTTTGTTTCACTTACCTCTTTCTGCAGATATAGTTCCACGTAATAACATAAATACCAAGAACACCACAGGGACCATGACGTAAAGCTTAGCAACTACATCTTATATAATTATATTGAACTACATAAAATAAATAAATCAAGATAAATGATAAAAAAAATATAACCAAATATATGTACGTGCAGCCAAAGAAAGCATAAAAGCAATTACCCAAAATTGAACATTCGGAATTCAAATGTAGCAAACACCAAAAATAAATTGAACACAGAAATCAAAACCCATTCCATGTTTTCATGATCGAAACAGAACATCGGGAGCATTGGTATTTTTTAGGGTTTGAAAATCGAATTTTTGCTATATAGTTTACAATGTTTACATTCAAACGCCCGTCTTCATTAGCCCAGTCGGAACAGAACATTATAATAGGGCGTTAAAACGAATCTCATTTCCAAAGGAGCCGTCCCAAAGGTTTTAGTGAATTAAAATGGTTAATTCCGTGCGAAAGACACATTGAAGTCTCTATATAGTCGCATTCAATTATCTGTGATTATTTAAATACAATACAAACTGTCGAATATCTACATTATTTATTCCATTTCCTCCCCTATATTATTAGCTGATTCACGGGCAACTAAATGATACTAAAAAAAACGTGTAGAACTGACTAAACAGATGCAATTGATTGTCGTTGAATTTGGATTCTTGCGTATTTCAAAACGGGTGTAAATCATTTTATATACACTCATATTACATGAATATGTGCTCTTAGACCCATTTTCGTGACTGTCAAGAAAAATCGGCTCAATGCATTCTGTAACATGACTTGCATATACCTATATGCGCCGTTGTTTCATATTTGCCCCTTGTTCGAGTTCATATTATGTGTTATAGCCCTGATCAACTATCTTCGAAATATCAGGTCTGGGCTGCTAATTCCTTTCAGTAGTTAGAAGTTGAAAATATTAAAATTATTGTCGTAGCATAAGTGATATTACCTCGTTGAGACCATTTCCGACCGAGCTAAAATAGGCAATTTCTTTGCCGTTTGGTGTTTGATACGCACACTATCCACGGGTGTCAAAGTATATTCTGATCAAATTTAGGACGAGTCGTTCAAAATACCAATAAAGGGGAGATCATTATTGGCATATTTGCGTATGAATTGTGAATGCACCGAAACCAGTCTTTATAATCTTTACACAGTTTCAAAAAGTTTTTGTCCCGACACAAAAATGAATGATCTAATTCCGATATAATAGTATGACTAACGGTTTAATGTTACGCTGGAAGGGTATTATTGCTAACGGCGTGGTGAAATAACTGTATTCGACATGTGGGGGCGGGGGATTTTAATAAAGATATTACCGACGGAAGTTAGGTGCAATGTTTCTGTTTCTAGTTATGTTTTTTATGTCCTGAAATAGACACTGAAAGATATATTATACTCAACCTATTTATCAGTCTATCAATACTTTTTTTAAAGGCCAAGCTACACGTGTGTACTATCACAGTTATAAAGATTCCTATTTGATAAGCATAGGGGTCGGTGAAATGTATCTGTAATACTGTATACACTGTATATCGGACAAATAAATGACAGTGCGAACCCTGTATAAGACACATGACATTGTATCATGGGAATACAGTACATATCTACCACCCCTTTAAACATGCATTTTGTAAGATTAGGATAAACTCCGCCCAGTCAACAAATGTTTACTTGCCTGTTCTTTAGGATCATTGATCATTCCACCTTTCGATGCTAAAAACCATGGAATTATTTCATCAACATGTCGCAAGAACAGACCAGCAGTTTCAGACGAATTTCATTATCTCACATATATGAATATGCACGTCATAGACTTTAGCCATAATACTTAGCCTCAGCTTTAAGCTATTATTTAAAGAGATTTTCCATGTTACCAGCACCCCCTGGTATACTATGATCTAACGATCTGTTGAATTTACTTCATTTTTCAGTGTATTGACTAAATATTCAGAGTTTGTAACTTTAAAACAGTATTCTTTTATCGTTCTGGCAACATTTAACTCAACACCCGCAGGTTATTGAACGGTAAAAAATTATTGCAATGTTATTATCAATTCTTTAAATGACATCTAGAAGCACGTTTAATTATTCATAACAAAACACAACAAAAGGTATATTTGGATATGACTCTTTCTCTATTATTAAATAACGACGTTTCGTAACACATACAGGTCACGTTTTCAAGTTAATGATAAATTAGCATATTGATACATATTTGACTTAATTAATTAATAACCAGAAAAAACCATTAAAATAATTAAAAGCAAACACAATGACAATAAATAAGATAAATAATAATAGATAATTGACCCTTAGTATCAGAACCTGGGATGTTGACAGTAACAGTGATAATACTAAAGATCAAAGATCGACATTAATAGGGTTTCACAATATCACACCTTAATCAGCCCAACATTAATAGGGTTTCACAATATCACAGCTTAATAACAGGTAAATTAAAACTAGGCAGTAACCACAATAATATACTAAACAGCAACAAAAACGTCAGTACGATTTCAAAATCAGAGAGGCACATTAATGAAATCGTTCTAGAAAACGACTTACTAAATGGATCAAAGCATTTTTTTGTGAACAGTATGTTGACACATTGGTGATTAATTCATCACAATTCCAAGACATTACACAGTCTATACATCAGTATCCGGTGTGTCCATCGCGAGTGTCAATAACAGCAGCGCAGCGCCTGTACATGGAGTGGACCAGACGATTGATAAACGCCATTGGCACCTGGAACCACACTCTTAGAAAAGCCTGACGCAATCCATCGGCTGTGTCTGCCCTCTGTTTGCCCCCCCCCCCCCAATAATTTTAGAAAATAAAAAAAAGTATTTGTGATACGTTTCGGTAATCAATACCTTCTACGGTGAATAAATCCCACATCCCCACTCAGTCATCAACTTGCATGTTGTAGAGCATTTCCGACAGTCTATTTTTCAAAATTTTCTTGGCGAGGTCCCCAATGGACTCGCTACTTTGGCGCTCGCAAGGGGAATTCGTTGAGGTTCGCAAGTCCGTTCGTTTGACATTTTGTTCTCTAGTCGGATAAACTAGTGATCAGGCAACGGACGGTATCTGGTCAGACCTATTTATCTCGACGATCGGTGCCTGACAGAATACTGTAAGACAGCATTTCCGGCATTTTTCAAAATTTTCTGGGGGAGGACTCCTTACTTTGACGCGCTTGAGTGGGCTTCGTCTTGATTCGCAAGTCCTTTCGTTTGACACTTTACCTCATGGATCAGCGCCTGAAATACTGCCAGGCTGCATTTCCGGCAACCTGTTTTTCAAAATTTTCTGGGGGAGGCCCCTACCCCTAGTTGAAGCTCGTGCCTTTGCCCCCTTAACCTTGGACTTTGCCCCAGCTTTGCCTCTCCAATCACCGACGGCTGGAGCCGCCACTGGGTACGACGTTATTAAGTCTCCTCTGAATTTCATCCCAAAGATGTTCAATCGGGTTTAAGTCCGGACTAAGGGCTGGCCAGTGCATAACCTTGACACCGTTCTGCTGTAGAAAGTCCCAAGTTACTCTGGCGGTGTGGGCACGGGCGTTGTCATGCTGGAAAACGTTGTTTCGATGACGTGCGAAATGTGGTATGACGTGGGGTCTGAGAGCTTGATCGATGTAGCGCACTGCTGTGATGCTGCCTCCTCTTTTGGAACACCATAGGACACACTCTCTGGTTCAGGTCGATTCCACCCCAAACCATTATGCTTGGGCCTCCCCATGAGTCTCGTTCCATAATACATTGGTCAGAATAACCCTGGCCACGCCGACGCCATATTCTGGTCCTGCCATCTGCAGTTGATACGCAATACCGACTCTCATCTGTGAACAGAACAGTTCTCCATTGTCTGTGTCGCCAGTCCTGGTGTTGTTGGGCAAACTGTAGACGTTCACGTCGACGGCGAGGGTGAGGATCGGTCCACGGTAAGGTCGGCGCACTGTATCGATACTGATGGGTCTTCCGTGTTTTCCCAATGTCTGACGTGATGTCTCAGATGCCTGTGTGAAGGGATTCTGCACATGCTGTCGCACAACATGGTGGTCTTGTCGCCTTGTGGTAACCCTTGGTCTACCAGTTCGAGGGCGATCATCCGTGGTGTTGGTAGCAAGAAAGCGTTGCTGAAGCCTGTAGATGGTCCGAACATTGACCTGGAAGTGATTGGCAACGGCTTGGACAGCGTCGAGTCTTCCAAGCGCCTGGTTCCTTTGAACTGTCGCGAGTCATGGCATGCTGCTGACGTTGTAGTGTGAATGATTCAACCAGGTATGGGGTGCATTTTATAGGGCTGGTCCCGGTGAACAGCACGTGCAGCATGAATTACATGAAAATCATGGCGAACACATTACCATCTCAGAATTCAGGTTGCTTTTTTGATAACATTTCCTGGGTTCAATTCTATGTTTGAGAAGGAGCCTTATTGTTCAGGTAAAGTTGGAGATGTGGTCACAAATATACAATAAAAACATTTGGCAAGTTTAATGCAATGCGTCTATTCAGAATAACATACCAATAACCTGGCGTTTCTTTTGCTGCTTACTATATAATATATCACAAATAATAGAGACAACCCCTGCGAACCAACATCCCACAAAAATAGGGTTTTTTATGATTAATTTAATAGACAACGTGACCCGTATGTGTTACAAAACGTCCTTATTGAATAAAGAGGAGTAGTTATATCCATTGTTATGAATGTTATTAACAACAACTCCCTTGTGGCGTATTAAATTTACATCAATATAAATCTTAAAGGACAATATTGGTGTCAGTCGTTATCACATATGTGATAGAACTGGTTAAACATGTTCCAAATATAATTTTAACACAGAGATCATTGCTATGAAGCTTTCAAGAAAGGGAAGTGACGAACGCAAAAGGAAAACACGAGATAACCTTCTATATAAGTGACGAGTAATAACGGATTCACTGGGTCATCTGCCCAGCCCGCTAAATTTGTTTTTATCTGATGTTAAATCGCTATACTTAAAGGGGTATTACCACGTTCAACAACAACAAGATAAGTAATTAATTAAACTTTACCAAATATCATATTCATTCAAATAATTATCGAAAATACGGGCATTGGACTTCTAAGAGCACAGTATCGTGCATGAGTGTCCCCTGAACTTGAAAACGATTATTCAGACTGTAAAGTGTACACTTTTACCAATTGTTAAAATATCTATATCCACGCGAAGGCGCCGCAGATGTCTAAAATTGTGAATACAATCTAATTTGAGCACATAGACAGATCAGAGCCGCGGTGGCTAAGTGAGTAAGACACTGGCTCGTTAACCAGGAAGTTGGCGGAGAAAGTTCCACCTTGTTATTGGTGCAGGACGGGGCTTGCTAAAGAACATTGTCTAATCGATCGGATGGTACGAAAACCCAAGACCCCGTGTACTCATTGGCGTGCACGTAAAATAACTCTTGCCAGTAAGTTGGAATTCGAAATAGTGCAGCTGTCCGGGCAAAATTTCCCTTATAGCACACTGTGGCGTATTCGCCTTCATTTAATCTACCATTTAGTTTAAGATGTTGTACATCTCTATATTCTTTTAAAAACAACAACTTAAAACCCATTTATTTAATCAGGCTTTTAACTGACTCTGTATACATTCGTTAACATGTCCATAATCTTGTTGTTTATTTATGAGAACATTGTCACTTTGTAAAGTGCCCCTGAACATGTTATATGAAAGGGCGCACTATAAATATGCTGTAATAATAATTAGCCCAGTCGCTGCAGAAAAGTAGGACGTTAAACCCTATTTTATTTTATTTCATAAACAGACCACGGCAATTAAAACAATTGATCGGTGAAAGATCATCAAAGCATGGTATTACCCCTTTAAGTTTATTCTCGATGTTTTAATATATAGGTATATCTCTAGCATGTTAATGTAATGTATAGAGTGGCGTCCCGTTGATGAATGACCGGTACACCTGCGCACACAGATGTACACATAGTATTATATGCATATTTAATTAGAAATTACTGTATGCAAACCAAATGAATTTTAAACAGTAGGTCAATACCAACACATTTCTTCTTCTATATTATACTTTAAAGAATAAAATTGCTACTCACTTTGTTTAAGTCGGACATGTTCCAATCGATTGATTAAATTACGTGAACTACCTGTTATCAAACTAGCTTTCGAAGAAAAAGATCGTCACGTTATCTTGTAGTTTCCACGCAGCTATAAATAGACCAAGTCATTCGACCACAAATTTTGTTTTGACACAAAACTACCATACTTGGGGCAAAATATCATATCGCTGTAATATCATATAGTATAGCTAAACAATGGTAGTTTTAACATAAACCAATTCAAAAACATAAAATTATATTGGAGAGAGAGAGAGAGAGAGAGAG